GCTTGGATTATAAAAAAGAAAAACCTCTAATATTAAAAATAGTTGGTGAATGAATTAAAATGTGCAAGAAAAAATAAAAAAATAAGAAGTTTTGTTATACAGATTGATTTAGATGTAAGAGCTTGAAAAATTGAGGGAGATATAAAAAAAGCCTATAAGGAGTATAAAAGTAATATGTGATGCAAAGAATTTAGTTTTTAATGATTTATATAATAGATTAGATACTAAGGATGACAAAAGATATATGTATAAATTAGCCAAGCAGAGATATAGGAAAAGGGCTTTTAGTAGAAGAGAATATTCAAAAAAGGTGGATGAGATATTTTGAAAAGTTTTTCAATGAAGATTGTGAGAATATGATTGACTTTAAAGACCTTAGCACCCGAGATGAGGTGAGACAGTGAGCTTGAAAAATTTATGGGGAAGGATTAGTGAATAATTGAATTCCAATTATTCACTAATCAAATCATTAGTCTTATTAATTAGTATTTAATCTTTGTATGTTTAAGATGCACAAGCACTTAGCCTAGGCTCCTAATTCTAAAGACCTTTCTTGTGATTGTGTGTTGCATTTACCTATTTTACCTAAGGGTTAGTCATGACACCTAATTTGAACCCATTCAACCTAGTGACATCTTAAAGACAATAATTAAGGACCTGATGCGGATATCCGACGGTGGACGTTAATCAATCGAAGAGACGAAGATCGATGACTTAGATCCTTTCATTTTATCTTAATTTATTAATTGCATTTTTTATTTAATTATGCATTTCCATTTTTACCCTTAAGTAGGGTCTTGTCTTATGTAAGCCCAAAAGGGCAAAGTTGTCTGTTAGTTTCTTTTAAGACCTATATATGAAGGCTCTTGCTATTGTATTAGATCAATGATGAATTATTAATAAAAAAAAATTTTGCACTCTTGTTCTTTGGGAAGAACTTTGATGAGATCCCTATGTGAGGGAAGCGTAGTATCCACCAACCGCAGGATGTGTCTGGGCTCATGGTTTATCTTTCTTTCCCTATGCTTTCTTTCTCATTCTCTAATTCCCCTTCTTCTTTCTTCTAATCGCTGCTCTACACCTTCCTCCTCTAGCCGATTCTCTTTCTCCCTTGATCGTCGGCCAAACCCTTCATAGCCGCCGGCCAAGCCACCCTCTTCCCCCCCTCCATCTGTCGGCCACTCCACGACCACCTCCTAGTCGGCAACCTCATCCCCTTCTTGAAGCACCGGTCCCCTTCCCCACAACCCCCCCCACCGAAATCCACATCTCCTCCCTCTTCCGTTGGCTCCATAAATTTCATCTTTCATTTAAAGCCTTTCATATTTTAGCCCTCTTAATTTGACAATGAATTTGAATTCAAAATTCAAATCAAATTGAATTTGAATTTGTTTCCTAATTAAAGATTCCTATTTTAGGAAATTAAGTCTTTCCTATTCTAGCCCCCTTTAGTAACAAATTGAATTCAAAATTCAAATTAATTTGAATTTGAATTTGTTTCCTAAATTAGGATTCCTATTTTAGGAAAGCAGCTTAAATTAGTTCTAATTATCTGAATTTGAATTTGTTTCTTAAATTAGGATCTTTATTTTAGGAAAGTTGCTTAAATCAGATCTAATTAAATTTATAATTGAATTTGATTTAAATTAATTTTTCTATTCAATAAATCTTTTTTAGGAAACCCCTCAAATCTGATATTAAAATCAAATTTAATTCCCTAATCACATTTAGTGTTTGGGTCCACATACATTGTATGTGGACACTTCTCCTCCCTCCCTATATAACTGGCCCCCCTTATTCTCTTCCCTTCTCTATTTTAATTAATTCCTTCACAAAATTGGAACTCCATTTAAGGGATTAATTAAATAACCCGTTTGCTCTCTTTTCAAATTAATTTGAAATATTAAATTCATAAGACCCTTCCCCTCCTGTTCTACATCAGTTTGATATCAAAGCATGGTTACCCGAGGTGCGGACTCGACGGAGTCGAGCTCTTTTCCACCCCGGGAGAATGATGCAGACATCCGACGATGGACGTAAATCAATCAAAGAGATGAAGATCGACATCTTAGATCCCTCCATTTTATCTTAATTTATTAATTGCATTTTTTATTTAATTGTGCTTTTTTCGTTTTTACCCTTACTTAAGGGTCTTGTTTTATGTAAGCCCAAAGGGCAAAGTTGTCTTTTAGTTTCTTTTAAGTCCTGTATGTAGAGACTCTTGATCTTGTATTAGATCGATGATGGATTATTAATAAAAACATTTTCTACACTCTTGTTCTTTGGGAAGAATTTTGGTGAGATCCCTATGTGAGGGAAGCGTAGTATCCACCAGTCACAGGATGTGTCTGGGATCGTGGTTTGAAGTCCCTAAGTGAGGGCAGTGCACCACCCATCAGTCGCAGGATGTGTCTGGGCTCATGGTTTATCTTTCTTTCCCTATACTTTCTTTCTCCTTTTCTAATTCCTCTTCTTGTTTCTTCTAATTGCCGCTCTACCCCCTCCTCCCCTAGCCGATTCTCTTTCTCTCTTGACCGCCGGCTAAGCCACCCTCTTCCCCTCCACCCGTCGGCCACTCCACCACCTCCTCCTAGCCGGCAACCCCATCCCCTCCATTAAGCGCCGGTCCCCTTCCCCACAACCCTCCCCTTCCCCACCGAAGTCTACACCTCTCTTCCCTTGGCTCCATAAATTTCATCTTGCATTCAAAGCCTTTCATATTTTAGCTATCTTAATTTGACAATGAATTCGAATTTAAAATTCAAATCAAATTGAATTTGAATTTGTTTCCTAATTAAGGATTCATATTTTAGGAAAGTAAGTCTTTCCTATTCTAGCCCCCTTACTTTAGTAACAAAATTGAATTCAAAATTCAAATTAATTTTAATTTGAATTTTTTTCCTAAATTAGGATCCTATTTTAGGAATGTTGCTTAAATTAGACCTAATTACATTTCTAATTGGATTTGGTTTAAATTAATTTTTCTAATTAGTAAATCTCTTTTAGGAAACCCCCAAATCTCTCAAATTTGATATTAAAATCAGATTTAATTCCCTAATCACATTTATTGCTTGGGTCCACATACATTGTATGTGGACACTTCTCCTTCCTCCTCATATGGTCGGCCCCCCTTATTCTCTTCCCTTCTCTATTTTAATTAATTCCTTCACAAAATTGGAACTCCATTTAAGGGATTAATTAAGTAACCCCTTCCTTCTCTTTTCCAATTAATTTGAAATATCAAATTCATATGACCCCTCCCCTCCCTTTCTACATCAGGACTCGTCTAGAGAACTTAGAAGAATTCTAGGGATTATGATACACCTCCAAATGACATGAAACTTAAACCATTTAAACTTAGTGACATTTCAAACCCCCAAGAATTTTCTAAAAATTTTTAGGACCCTTCAAGTCACTTAATTAATTAACCTTATTTTACCCCTTTAATTAAACCCTAAAAATTTCAGAAAATGGTAATGAACTCAAATTTAACCCAAAAATTGCAAATAATATTTCAAACTCAGAATTGAATTATTAATCTAAGAAAATTAGAAGCCCCTTAATTGGACCATAATTTAAACACTAATTTAATTTCGATTAAAAATCACCTTAAGTTAAATTAATCAATTAATAATTATTAAAAATTTTCAAAAATTTCACAAACACTTACAAACATTTTCTTAGGTCTTTCTTGACCTTTGGAGGTGATCCCAAGAGGTTTGAACTTCATTTAAATGAAAATCCCCAAAATACCCTTAATTAAGTAATTTTAATAAATCACTAAATACCCAAACTTTGAAAAATCATAACTAATTAAAAAAAATCTAAATTGAGCAAACTAAAAGGCATTCAACTCTAATTAAAATATAATAATTATTAAAAATATGAACATTCCAGAAATCAGCATAAATAAAAAAGTCAACTCCTTGGTCAACCGTAGTTCAATAATTAGGCCCGAACTTCTAAAAATCATAACTTTGTGTAAAAAACTTTAAATCCAGCAAACTCATAGTCTAATTACTCCCCAAAAGGTCTAATATTTATTAAGAATACTAGGACTACAGAACTCAGTTGGATTTTAAAACTCAACTTTGGACCCCTTTGATCTAGTAGATAAAATAACCCCGAGCATTCCAAAATTCGCTTATTGAACTTAAATTTTAGAGAATATTATCCCAAACATTAAAATTGACCGACCAACTAAATTATAATTAAAATTGACCCCAAGATCTTGTGGGGGATTGTGACTTTTCAAGTCATTTATTTGAGTACATGTTTTAGATATCTCGGGTATGTTGTTCAAAGTGATGGTAAAATAGATGGGGATATTATCAGTAGAATTCAAGTTGGATGGTTGAAGTGGAGGAATGCATTGGGTCTGTTGGGTGATAGAAAAGTATCCTCGAACTTAAGGGAAAATTTTATAAGATGGTGGTGAGACCTGCAATGCTTTATGGCGCAGCATGTTGGCCATTAAAAGAGAAGCATAAAATTAAGTTAAGTGTTGCAAAGATGAAGATGCTCAGGTGGATGAGTGGCTTTACTCTTAGAGATAAAATGCGAAATGAGTATATATGTGAAAAAGTTGGAGTCGCTTCTATGGTAGATAAAATTAGAGAGAGTCGCCTTAGATGGTTTGGTCACATAAATGTCGGCCTTCCGATGACCTGATTATGAGAGTAGATGTATTATTTGGCTTATATTAAGAAAGGTAGAGGTAGATCTAAAAAGACTTGGTTAGAACTTTTAGAAATGATATTTTTTTATTACATTTAAATGAGAATTTGACTCTTAATAGGACACAATAAAGAAAAATGATTCATGTAGCCGATCCCTCGAAGAAGGATAAAGGCTTGATATTGTATTGCTGTTGTTGGTGGTTTGCTTGTGTCTTCTGCCCTAAACCATGTTTTAGCTGCAGTTCCTTAATTTTTCTCTATTGTTTTGGAATTTAGGCAATGTTTATCATTGTTTTTGGTTCGGTGTTGAATTATTTTCAGGTTATATGGCAATCCTGTATGTTCAAGTGCAAACCAACTTAACATCGAGCAATACTGTCAGAATCAGTCAGTAAACCCATCACCTGGAGGCTCAGGGAACTCCAAAACAAAATGTAACCCATGCCCCAGTGATTCAGGTTATGAATACAATCCTTTGTCTCCTATCCTTTGCATGTGTGCCATCCCGCTTGAAGTTGGCTATCGGTTAAAAAGTCCAGGATTTTCCGATTTCCGTCCATACAGTGATAGCTTTCAGCTTTACTTGTCATCCGGTCTTGAATTGTCTCTTTATCAACTGTTCATTGATTCATTCATCTGGGAAGAAGGTCCAAGATTGAGGATGAAGCTGAAATTATTTCCAAATAATACTAGTTTATTCAGTGACAGTGAGGTCCTACGAATCAGAGGAATGTTCACAGGATGGCTGATTCCAGATTCAGATATTTTTGGACCATATGAACTCCTTAACTTCACTTTGGGATTTTATTCTAATGGTATGTCTTGAAGGAAAAAAATGCTTGCACTTCCCTGCTTCAAACTAATGAAGCTATTGAGTAAAATCATACTGTATTAGATAGTCATTGATTCATTTTTCTGTTTCAGTGATTCCAAATAGAGGAAGTTCAGGCTTAAGAGCTGGTGCTGTAGTGGGCATTGTATTAGCATCAGTGGCAGCGGCAGTTGCTCTATCAACTCTGATAACGATTCTTATAATGAGGCGTCGTTCAAAATACCATGCAATGTCAAAAAAGCGATCAAGTAATTTTTGTGCTTTTTATGTAGCATTTTTTAAAAACACACTTCGAGGTTCACTACATGAAATATTGAAAGCTTAAAGGATCATCAAATCCTAACTGAAATTAGATGCATATTCATATAAATTTTAATTAATAATTCCCTCTGTTGGTTCTTTTTCTCAATATATCTTGTCAATTTTTTTTTATAACTTTGCTGGCATATTTCTCAAGTATATTTAACTTCTGAAGTTAATATTTACATTTTCAATCATTGATCTTTATGGGAACCGTAGTATGGGTTTAAGTCTTAACTGAGGCCTCTTTGAATTAGTGTCAACTATTTAGCATTACACTTGTACTTTCTAAATCCTTAGAGCATGGAAATGTGATCTAATATACTAGGTTAATATTTGTGTTTTTAATCATGTGTTTGATTCATTTCATGTGTGGGCTGTGAAAACCTCTCACTTTGTTTCTATTGCTATTTGAGTGATCTTGGATTGATTTTTTATAAGTCAAATTGGATATTAGATAAGTAACAACTTAGTGATTCTTACCTTTTGTGTGAACCTCATAATATGTTTTGAGGTCTCATAGAGGCGTAATCCCCTATGATTAATTACATTTCTCAATTGCGATAGAGCTTTTGATTAAAGTATTGTATAAGCTTTATAATGTTTTACTTTTATAGAAGTAATTTGGATTAGAAGAAAGAATAAATTATAGTTTGCTCAAAGAGAAATAATGAAGGGATAACAACAAACTCGATAAAAATTTCATTATTTTATTAAATTTGGTTTACTTAATTATCGAAAACCATGAATTATCTTATCTAAGGGGAGTTGATAGGCTTGGGGTGAACACTTATTAAAGGGGTCATTTTTTTGTTGAACTTAGTTAACATATGGATTTATGTGCTATCAAGTTTGTCCTATGATTCACACTCATAGAATTATCCATTGGGGAACATCCTATCATAGACCATAAATGTAATATAATGGTTTGATCAGATTTGGGCTGATCTCCCAATTAGAGGGCATATGTCACATTTTTATCTACGTGAGATTTTTTTTAATGGGGTAGATGAATATATTTGATATAACATTGTCTTTTTATGAGCTTTGGTCAAACGTATATCTAGCATTCCTGACAAACTAGTGTGGAGGGTGATCAATGATTGTTCTAAGCATGAAGCATCTGATTATTGCTCAAATTTTTTTATTATTGATTGTGCCTATCATCAGAAAATGAGTCTAAGATATATTTAGCTTGGAGTTCTAGATGTTTTTTTCATGGTGATAATTGTACTCATCATAGGGGCAAGGCTGAAAGCTTTTATCTTTACAATCAAGAGTTGGATTTTGATGGTAGATTTTGATGCATTTTGGAAGTAAATACAACAAGGTAACAAGTAGAAAATTTTAGAAATTTGAAGATAGGGGTTGATTTTGATTAATACTTCAACAATAATAAAATATATAATTGATTTACTATTCGAGAGTCAGATCAGTTCTCCCACAAATCCTAGACGCCGTTAGGAGCAACTTCTAAGAAAAACTATATCAAATTCAATCACATCATGAAAATGAAACAACCTAATTACCCTTAAATAAACCATCATATTTTTCTCCCAAATATGAATTAAAATCATTCCTCTTTCCCTGAATAAAACCTTTTCAATTCCCCCCAAATCTGAATTCAAATCAGTCATCTTTTTTTAAATAAAATCTTCCTAATTTTCTTCCAAATCTGAATTCAAATTAGCCATATTTCCTTAAATAAACCTTTCTTAATTTCCTCCCCAATCTAAATTCAAATCAGTCTCCTTTCCTTAAATAATTCCCCCCAATTTAAAACTTTTTAAATAACTCCCCCTTGATTCCTCCTCCTTACATAATGAATATTAACTCCCCTGGGCCCCACAAGGTGGGCCCCTTGACATATCAATACTCCCCCAAAATACACACCTTATTTTAAGGTGGAAGGATGAGAACTATGTAGTCCTAGGCGATCATATCCAAGTAATTTGGATAACTAGCTCTGATGCTCCACAATTATCATCCTGTGCTCCAGTAGAAACTTTAGACCCCTTTGGTCTGTCCTGATGATAAAGTGTTGTCCCAACAAATAGGGTTGCCACTTTTTGATAGCCAAGACAACCACCATCAACTCTAGCTTGTATACGAATTGAACATCGCACTGGTTGTGAGCACCTGGCCGAAATAAGCAATGAGTCGATGATCTTACATGAGTATTGCAACTAGGCCGTATCCTGATGCATCTGTTTCCACCCGATACACCCACCCATGGGCATCCACCTCTTCAAATATTGACTTCTTCAACTTCCTCACCATAGCATCTCCACTCCATCTTCCTCTTCCTCCGATAGCTTCCCTCGTGCATCGTGGGTGAGACTCTCACCTTTCTTCCATCCTCCTTGCATGACCTGATCCCCCCCCGGCTCGGTTTGACCCCCTCCATCTTCGACTGCTCACTCTCCTTGCCCAAAATGCCTCCATAATGATCAACCACCCTATCACCTCCACCACAAAATTTCCTCCTTGTCTCCCCATCCGGAAACCCCTATTTGCCCCTTATCACAACCCTATGAGATGAACCTTGATGAAAGAAACTCTCCTGGTTTTACTCCTCCTGTTCGATCTTCTTTCTCTTAGATTTGGTCTAAAGAATCCTAGTCAAATCTTGGTTAGGGTTTGCAATCGGAACCATTAGTGGAGTTTTGGATTTCATCTCCATGAGCTTCCTCATCATCACCTCCAACCTTCCAAATTGACTCGCCATCCAATTCTCCTTGGCTGAAAATCTTCCTTCAATGGTGGATAACCTTTCCTCCATCCCAAACTTGATTTGCTCTAATTTGCCTTGCAATGCATCCACCTTCTTTGCTGCCATCTCTCAAAAATCTCTCTCTAATACCAATTTGATGCGTTTTGGAAGTAAAAACAACAAGGTAACAAGTAGAAAATTCTAGAAATTTGAAGATAGGGTTTGATTTTGATTAATACTTCAACAATAAGGAAAAATACAATTGATCTACTATTCAAGAGGTAGATCAGCTCTCCCACAAATCCTAGACGCTGCTAGGAGCAACTCCTATGAAAAACTACAACAAACACAATCACATAATGAAAATTAAACAACATAATAACTCTTAAACAAACCATCATATTTCCCTCCCAAATCTGAATTAAAATGAGCCCTTTTCCCTTAATAAAACTTTGCTAATTCCCTCTCAAATCTGGATTCAAATCATCCCTCTTTCCCCGCATAAAACCTTCATAATTCCCTCCCAAATCTAATTCAAATTAGTCATCTTTCATTACATAAACTTTTGCTAATTTCCTCCCCAATCTAAATTCAAATCAGCCTCCTTTCCCTAAATAATTTCATCCCAATGGATTCAAATTTTTTAATTTTGTACTAAAACTCCGTTTTACAAAGCAATAAAAAAGCCGTCCCAAACGAAGCCTATATTTGTCATCGTGGATTATTGCTTTAGTATTTTGTCTTTTTAATTGAGAGAAATATATTAAGTATTAACCCTTTGGTTATAATTCTATGATGATTGAAAGTCATCAAGGTGAGGGTTCGATGCATTTGTCTTTATAGTTGGGAGCTTGATTTGGGTAAGGAATCCCTTTAGTTATGATATTCTGACAACTGAATCCATCATCGGGGTAAGAATCTCAAATTTTGATTTGATTCCTTGTTAGGATATCTTCACCCCAATAATTGACTTTTTGAACTACTAGGAGTTTGTTCTAGCTTTTCTTTATAATGGCTTGTCAAACTAAAGAATCTTTGGAATACCAGCTCGATCATTAGGCCTGTTGAGTGGGGACCTACCCACACAACAGTCTTTTGGCTTGTTGGCGAGAAAGATTTTCAACCGCTCTAAAAGTTCTGTCATCTTTATCTCACTCAGCCCCAGGCTAGCAAATAGACTATTTTCTCACTTTTTTAACGTAGCTAAAAAAGTGAGATTTTGCATCCTTTTTTTTTCTTTCTATCAAAGTTTTCTAATTGATTTAAGAATTGACTCTTGACTTCAATGGCTTTTACATTTTGACTGTTTGAAGTTTTTGTGGATATTAACCCCCATTTGGTTATATTCTTTTAGTAATATTTTATAACTCCAAGAATCTAATTCTTCAAATTCTGAAGAATGGACTATTTTATCTCTTAATTAATTTATTAGAACTTTTAATAATCTACTAGTTTAAATATGTCTAGCAAAAACAACTATAAATCATTTTCATCTTGTAATTTTATATTTATTTCCCAAAAATTCATGTACAATAATTAGTTATTTATTTTCTAATAAGTCTATCATTAACATTCTTGGTTACAAAAAAATATAATATTAAAATACAGAAAATAAAATAAAACCTAGAAATTCTATTCATAAATATTATTCAGCTTTTTTTTGGCCTCCCATAATGTTGGCTAAACATTTATGAGCATGTAATCATCATCACTAATTAAATGATTCCTTGTTAACGGCGAATGGCGCACCATGGCGAAAGGTACCATTTGAGCCATGGCGCATAGCGCACGGCGCGGCGCGTGCTATTTTGAACATGATGCAAATTATAAAAGAATTATAAAATAATAAGCATGAATATGAAATATCATTAAATTGAAAGACAATTTATCATAATAACAAGCAAACAACGACAATACAAATAAATAACAATTCAACATGATTTCAAATCCAATAACTAGTCAATCTTTATACAACTAAAATATATTTAAATGAAAGTAAATAGCATTAAGAAGATAATAATATGCAATCTAACATTTATCTTAATACTTTTAATACATTTAAAAATTAGAAAATATATTATCTTAAAAAAATATAAAAAAGTATTTATAATTACATTAAAAAAATTTTAAAACAAATGGCGTGAGCTATTTTGCATCGTGCGCCATGCGCCATGGCGCGCTGTGGCGCAAATAGCGCGCGCCATTTTGAACGTTGCGCCGCGCCACACATGGCGCCGTAGGTGCGCCGCGCCATGCGCCATGGTGCGCGCTATTTTGCGCCATTGAAATCTATGTGTATTCCCTTATTTTTAGGTCACAAGTCATTAAAATTCTAAAACATTGTTAAATCTAATCTATCAGAAAACATAATGTCAAACTTCAAATATTAGTTTAGAATTCCTTCAGAGAATAATTTGATTTCCTTTGTCTTGATTTGAGGATCTATTCGATGAAAGATAGATGATTATGGTCTTGCCTAGCATAGGCGCACAAAAGTAGTCTTTGCCAAAGTTTAAATGGCTAGAGCTTTAAATAAAAATAAAATAAAAAAAAAAATGGCTAGAGCTTCCTGATATTCACATTTCACTATAAAAAAAAATCTTTTCTATGATGGTGTGGCTTAAGCATTCTTAAGCCATCTGAGTAATTTTTATAAACTTGATAGATTTTGAAAGTCTTCTAATCCTCAATGATTTTCACCTTGTGTAGCATCAAAAATTCCCATAAAAGTTGAAGGTGTTAAAGGGTTTACATTTGAAGAAATGGCATTGGCAACAAACAGTTTCAGTAGCTCCTCTCAAGTTGGTCAAGGTGGGTATGGAAAGGTCTACAGAGGAATCTTAGCTGATGGAACAGTTGTTGCAATAAAGCGGGCACTAGAAGGTTCCTTACAGGGATCAAGAGAGTTCTTCACTGAGATAGAACTTTTATCAAGGTTGCATCATCGAAACCTAGTTTCTTTGGTTGGTTATTGTGATGAAGAGAGTGAACAGGTATGTACCTCCTCCAGTTCTAGCATCAAATTTACGTAGTTATTTGGTACATTATTTTCAGATTTTCAACTTGAACCCCAAAATGGATAGAATTAGAGTTTGGCTTGTTTTATTACAATTCTGTTCTTACTTGTACTCCTTATTTTGATAAAGGAAGAATACTGAGGAGTATAAACTCCAATATCTTGAGCATAGGTTATTAAGCTATGGTTGACAAATATAAGAAAAAAGATTTTATCCAAAAAGCTAGAGTTTAACAATGTGCAGAAATAATCATGCAACATTCACAAATTGTGCATGGAATAATCTGACTTCATACTTCATACGGACCTGCAATGAATTGGATTTTGGTTTTATTAAAATTCTCTTAAGTTCATCTTTTCTGTTTTAGGAAGAGTACCGAGGAATATAAAGCCCATTAAATTGAGTATAAGCTGTTAATCTTTGGTAAACGAATACACGAAAAAAATTATCCAAAAAATGGGAGTTTACAATGTGTAGTAATATTATTACAAGTAAACAAGAAAAATTATGCATGAATTAACCTTATTTCCTCAATGGTATTTGATTATCCTGCTTACGTACTACTATTAGCTTCAAGGCCTTCTTTCAAAGAAGACCAAGTTGTTTAGGGACTCTGATAGGAAACACTTGTAGTTCTCAAGTATTTCCTATCAATCTTCGGAAAACAATGAAAATTCTTCACAAAAGTCTGTACAACATCACAAAAACAGTAGATAATTTGTAATTTTTGATGAAAGGAACACGGAAAATAGCAAGATACAATTGATCCTCTATTCGAGAGGAGGATCAATCTCTCCCAAATCTCTAGATGCCGCTAGAGCCCAAAGAAAACCTAAATCTAAGAGATCTCAAATTTCAGCCAAATTCAAGATGCCCAAACCCTAGGAAAGCAAAGTATTTAATGCATACAAATCAAAAGGAAATCCCTAAACAGTCCCTACATTCAAATTTTCCTTTCAAATCCCTAAAAAATCCTTCCTAAAATGGTCCGCTTGGGCGGTCGGGACGCCCGATCTCCACAGGTGGCGGAGAGATCGCGAATCGGTCCAGTGAACCGGTCTAACAATACTCCTCTCCCAAAGATCCACCTTGTCCTCAAGGTAGAAATATGCTCGTGTTCCCGTGGAGGTGGCCATCCTTGAGGTGACAAACAAACCTTACTGAATTGCTGAATCGAGGGCTGCACTGAAAGAGAAACATCCCCTTCCTTCATCCTGATCATATCCAACTTATGTAGTCCCTATAGAAAATCTTCCTCCTTCTCTTTTAGGCCCTTAATCATGGTCTTAAGTGATACCATAGCTTTGGATAGCCCTACATCTCCCCTTATATCCACCATTAATTCCATCGTGATGGCTCCCCAATTGTCCTTGGTTTTTCCTAAGATTTGCAACTACTTCATCCCCAGGATGACATCAGTACTTCCTAACTCTAGTGGGAGAAAGTCCTCCCTTACCTGAATCTCCTAGATGGTCAACACCACTCCTTTACAGATCTCCTGACCTTTCTCCACCTTCCCTGTACCCATCATCACTCCATAACAACCGGTGTCCACCAACTTCACTCTCAATTGGTCAACGACCTGAGTGGAAATGAAATTGTGGGTAGCCCCACTATCAATTAGCACCACCACCTCTCTGCCCTCTATCTCCCCCTTCACCTTCATAATATGATTCGTAGTGAATCTTCCCACTGAGTTCAGGGAAACCTCAGCCAGATCCAAGTGTAGCTTCTCCTCCTTCTCTTCCATCTCCTCCTCTATCTCCTCCTCACCTCCCTCCTCAGTTTCCTCGTCATCGCAGACGGTGAGAACTTGAAGAGTTCGGTCCTTGTACCGATGCCCTGGCATATACTTCTCCTCGCACTTGAAACACAACCCTTTGCCCTCCTCTCCTGCATCTCCTTCTCTGTCAGCCTCTTGAAATTTTCTCCACTCCCTCCTATTGGCTTCTCCCTGGTGGTCTCAAATGTTTCCTGAGGCAGGCCCCTTGGGTGCTAGAAGAGTGGTCGTAGTCTTGTAAGAGCCTTCTGTGTTGCTGCTCCTAGCTCCATTCTCCACATTCTTCTGATTTTCCACCAGCTGTGCCAACTTCATCCCCCCCCCCAAGTCACGGGGCATCAACACTTTCACTGCTGCTCGGATCTCCACCTTCAACCCTTTCATGAAATTCCCCTCCAACACTGTATCTAAGAGTCGCTCCACCCTGCTAGCTAGGTTCTCAAACTGCTCCCAGTAATCTGCTACTGATCCCTCCTGTGTTAGAGCAAAGAACTGCTCATAGAAGTCTCCTCCCCGATCGGTTTGGAAATGCTCTATTATGCAGTCTTTAAATTCCCTCCAGTTCCTGATCGGCCTCCTTTGGTCTCTCCACTGAAACCACGACAGGGCTTTCCCTTCCAAGCACAGTCCCGCTGCTGTTAGCTTCTCCTCCTCCGTCACCCCATTGACGACGAAGTGTCGTTTGACCTTGTAAATCCACCCATACGCATCTTCTTCTTCGAATATATGCATCTTCAACTTCCTCACCTTCTGGTCGCCACCATTTCCCCTTATTCTCCCATAATTTCTCTTCTCCCAAGTGCTAGGTCCACCCCATGTTTCCTGATCTTCCCTTGCTCTGCATAGCCCAAACTCCCTTCGAGATCCTCCTTTTTTTCTTCAAAATCAGCACCTTGACAGCCATAAAACCCCTCATGGCGTTCCCAATTAGCCCCTCTTTGCTCCGCTCCCCCATAGCCATACCTTTCCCCATGTCGATCTCCTCTTTCCTCCCTATGGAAAGACTCCACATAGGGTCTTCTTCTTCCCCATTCCACGATTTCCACCTCTTCTTTCCCCTTACGGATTTCAGAATTGGTGTTCTTCGCTTCTGGGCCCGTCGCTTCGGATGCCACCGTTTGTACTTGAAGCTCCAGCATTCTTTTCATCATATCCCTGAGATCGGCCACCTGCCCCTTCATGGAAGAAATTCTTTCCTCCATGGTTTCTTTGATGTGATTCATCTCTCCTCTGAGTCTCTCCTCCAAAGCATCAACTTTCTTGGCCGCCATTACAATCCGGAGTTTGGAGATTCACAAAATCTGGATTTTTGAGTAAAAAAACAGCAACTTCCTCCTTTTCTGGGCAAAAAGCTGCTGCTGGAATTGACCCAAAACAGCCCTCCACCGGTCCCAAGACTTGCTCTGATACCAATTTGATAGGAAACACTTATAGTTCTCAAGTATGTCCTATCAATCTTCGGAAAGCAGCGAAAATTCATCACAAAAGTCCGCACAACATCACAAAAACAGTAGATAATTTGTAATTTTTGATGAAAGGAAAACGGAAAATAGCAAGATACAATTGATCCTCTATTCGAGAGAGGAGGATCGATCCCTCCCAAATCTCTAGACGCCGCTAGAGCCCAAAGAAAACCTAAATCTAAGAGATTTCAAATTTCAGTCAAATTCAAGATGCCCTAACCCTTGGAAAACAAAGTATTTAATGCATACAAATCAAAAGGAAATCCCTAAACAGTCCCTACATTCAAATTTCCCTCTCAAATCTCTAAAAAATCCTTCCTAAAATGGTTCGCTTGGGCGGTCGGGACGCCCGACCTCCGCAGGAGGCGGAGATCTCGCGAAATGCCAGTCCTGTGCGGACCGGCTGGACCAGTCCAGTGGACCGGTCTAACAGACTCCCTGTTTGTACAGTTCAATACAATTCCTCTCGTTCAACATTTAAGAAGAAAAAACATATAGGATGTCAATGTGACAAAGGGGACAGGGTTTATACCATTTGAGCATGACTAGGCTTCCAGTTGCTCCCTTTCTCGGTTCCCTTGCCCAACTTATCCATTCTCTTAATTTCTCAATTACTTGATTTCTAGGGTGTTTCATTCCAAATGTTTTATACATGATTTTCCCTTTTTAATGATGATATGTACTTGTATAGATGAAATATTGAAATATTAAACATTCTTGTCTTAGAGTATCCAAGAATCCTTGTCCTGCATCAATGATGAAAGCCTTTTAACTTTTAGTTGTACAAAGTGCTGATGAAGTAGTAATGATATCTAGTATGATTGACATGCCATTGGCTAAACTCTTGATTATTTAGAGCTCTTTTCTGAATTCCCAATCGATATAACTGTTTTTTTTTTCTTGATTATTGATATCAAAACATTAGCATTCGTTCTTTGGAGGCTGACTCGATTATGCTCAAGAAGCTATTTGCCTAAGGAATTTTTTTTTTTTGTTATTTCAAGTTGCTGTCAAGAAGATCCCTTTTGAGTTGGATAGAGCAGCATTCTTGGTTGCCTTACTTGGTGTGTCCGTGCATGTGTGTGCTGAAATATCAGTAAAATATTGTTATGGTTTCAAAGAGTTGCTTGCTCGATGGTTTTTAATTATCAACTATGTAAAAGTTTACTGCTGAAATTTTGTGCAGTGTAAGAGAGGTAGCTATCATTGCTTGACTGAATTTTAACTCTTTTTCATTCTCTAGTATCATGGCCAATATTTGTTGGTTTGAACCACTGGACTGTATTTTTTTTAAGATTGTTCCCAATTTGACTCAAAGTTGTTGTGGCAGATGTTGGTGTATGAGTTCATGCCAAATGGTACATTGCGTGATCACCTATCTGGTGAGAATCACTTGCTTGGAGAAATGTAGCTATGACAAACAAATTCTCGTCTATTTTTCTTTGAGAAAGCTCTGTTTTTTTTTTCTGACTTGAAATTTTGTGATATAACAGCTAAATCCAAGGAAGCTTTGAGCTTTTCAATGAGGTTGAGCATTGCATTGGGCTCTGCGAGGGGCATATTATACTTGCATACAGAAGCAGATCCCCCTATTTTCCATCGAGATATAAAAGCAAGCAATATATTGTTGGATTCGAGGTTTGTTGCCAAGGTTGCAGATTTTGGACTGTCACGCCTTGCACCAGTTCCTGATATTGAAGGTGATCTGCCTGGTCATGTGTCAACTGTAGTCAAGGGTACCCCGGTAAGCTATTTCATTATAGCTTTATATATGCTATCAATTTAAATTATCATTTTGAAATTAGCTTGACATTTTTGTTCTGATATCTTTAATTATCACGGTTATGCAAATCTTTTTCTTTTAATTATAATCCATCAATAAAATGAGTACAATGTCAAATAATGAAAGAAAATTGTTATTTGGAAAGAGACAACAACAATAATGACAATATCAAGCCTTTATCCCACTACGTGGGGTCAACTACATGAATCATTTTTTTTCATTGTGTCTTGTTAAGAGTTAAATTCTCATTTAAATTTGATAAAAAAGGTAATTTGTAATACTTTATAACCAAGTCTTTTTAGGCCTACCTTTACCTTTTTTAATATAGGCTAAATCTAATACATCTACATTCTTAAGCCACTTGAACTACTTCAACTTTTTCATTGTGGGCTCCGAAAATTCATGCCCTGAACTCTCCGTGACTAGTTTCTTTTTTTTTTGTCTAGGAGATTTTTAACGAGTTTAGGTTTTAAGATAAATTTTCAGAAGGAAGATTGTGTTTTAGATAAGACACTATCTAGAGATTTTGCCCTCGTTTAATGAGGACTATATGATATCTTTTGAATATATATATATATATATATATATATATATATATATGAGTTCAGGTTTTCTATCGGCTCAAGCCCCTATAGTTAATTACCTCTCCCAATAACGAGAGAGAACTTTCGATTAATGCTAGTTGTTGAACATATGCATAGTATCAAGCATATAGTAGCAGCAGAATTAGATATTGAAAATTGAGAATTTGTCACCGCACACTTAAAGTAGATGGTATGGGGAATGATGATGAACCCGATCAAGATCCCATGGTTTAGTCGACTGGGGCCATCATGATCCTTAATCTACTTAGTCAGAGGAGACAGTCGACCCAACCTTACCTAATGTTTCTTGTCAGCAGCTATGGGTTGCTTCGTCCAAAGGTACTTTGTAGACATGAAAAATCAAAACCTTTAAAACTAATATGCATAAAAACCTGTTAAGTCAGTAAGAATAACAGCTTTCTGATAAAGTTCATCAGGACAACTCAGGGAACTTCCTTTCTTCTAGTTTAAGTAGTTCCAGATAAATGCATGGTTTAAACTGAACTAATGCTGCAAAGCTAGCATATTTTCTGGTTGCTATAATGGAAAAAGTATCGTTGAAAGTAAAATCTTCTTACTTAACCTTCATATTCTTTCAAAGTTACTTGCAACTGTGTGCTTATAATTGCAATTTCTATGCAGGGTTACCTTGACCCAGAATATTTCTTAACTCATAAACTTACTGACAAAAGTGATGTATATAGTCTTGGAGTTGTGTTTCTAGAACTATTGACTGGGAGACAACCAATTTTGCATGGAAAAAACATAGTTCGGGAGGTATGAATGAATATCTTTTGTTAACTTTTCATGCTCAATCTAAGGCTTCGTTTGGGACGGCTTTTTTACTGCTTCTTAAAGTAGCTTTCAAGTATAAAATTTAAATTTTTTTTACTAAAAAATTTGCTTTAAGAAACAATAAGAAAACCGCCTCAAAAGAAGCCTAAATAGAAACATTTCAGTATATCTTTATTATAATCATAGACCAACATGAACACCTATGGTTGCAGGTTACCTTGGCTTATCAGTCTGGCATGATTTTCTCAGCCATTGACAGCCGCATGGGCTCATATCCCTCAGAATGTGTTGAGAAGTTTGTGTCATTGGCTCTACGGTGCTGCCAAGATGAGACAGATGCGAGGCCTTCAATGCCTGAAGTAGTCAGGGAGCTGGAGATCATATGGCGCATGAATCCAGAAACTTATACTTCGCCATTAGAGTCTGTGGTTGGAGAGTTGAAGAACGAGACACCGACATCATCGTCACTCGTAGACTCTCAGCCTTACTTGTCTTCCGATGTCGCCGGCAGCAACCTTATCAGTAATGTGATCCCTTCCATTGCACCTCGCTGATGAGGTAATATCTTCCTGTATAAATTAGGTGAATGTATGCATCTGAGTGTATATTTAGGCTTCGTTTGGGACGATTTTTTTACTGTTTCTTAAAGCATTTTTTTAGTATAAAAATTTAAATTTTTATGCTAAAAAATAGCTTTAAGTAGTAAGAAAGTCATCCCAAATGAAGTCTTAAAAACTGTGTCAAAATGAAAATATAGTTTCTTAGCATCAGGTTCATTCGTTGTGTTGTTGAAATCTTTTGGGCATAGCATAGAATCAGATCTCACAATTTTTTTTAGAATTTGTGTTATTGTAATAAATCACTTGGACTGATATTTTGTATCTATTATTGAGGTTTTTGCCTTCCTATTTCATTCCCGATGGTTTTCTTATTGCTTCTTAAAGGATATTTTTAGTAAAAAATTAATTTTTTATTAAAAGTTGATTTAAGAATCAATAAGAAAATCATCTCAAATGAAGTTTATATTGTATTACCAATTGTTATTGTTGGGGATTAAAATATATGCGGAGGTAGAGTTAAGAAATTTTAGTCTTAACGTTGTACAAATATCTAGCTCACAAACAGATAAGAAATAATAAAACAGGGATTTTTACGTGGAAAGCCCTAAAAAGAGAAAAAATCACATGGTCTCGCCCAACTGAAATAATTCCATTAGTGTTTTGTTTGAAATACAAGAGGCTGACTCGTCCACAAAGTTAGGACGATCAAATTACAATGAATCTCTTCCAAGTTGAGATTCAATTACAAAGTTGAGCAGAGTTCTGACGTCACTAAGGAGATTGGGCAGAATTCAATGTCGTCCGAAAGTTGGACTGAATTTCGGCGTCAGACAGAACTTTTATGTTGCTTAGGAAGAATTCTGGCATCACCCGGATGTTCGGCCGAATTCTGGCGTTACTCAGGCGGCAGGATGAACTCCGGTGGTGGTCGAGGAGGAGTTACTCCCTCCTATCCTTCTCTTCTCTTCTTCTCTTCTTCTTCTCTTCTTCTTGCTTGGGTCCCCCCTTATGAGAAATGAGAGGTCTATTAATAATTTTTCTGGAGTAGCATAGCATGTAAATAGGTGTGAGATCAGGGGTAAATAGGGAGTGGTCGAATGGACGGTTGATACTGAATCCCTTGATAGTGCACAGTTCATCAGACATTTGAAGGTCTTAATGATGTCGAAATTCGGTGATCTTGGGCTCGTTGGATTTGTCTCGTCGATCCGTTCGATTCGACTATAAGCTCATTAAAATCGAAGACCGTTTGGTAACTCAAATTGCGGTATGAACTTTCCAACAACACTTTGGGTGCTTGACTTGGGCTCATTTGGGCTCGGATTGAGTTGAATTTGGTATCATTGGGTTCGTATTTCCGAGACGCTCAGTTCGACTATAAGTTTGCTGAAATCGGAGTTCAGGTGATCCCAGATTTAATTTTTGAAGTTTTCACGTTGATTTTGCCTCGAGATTCGTGCCCGATCAAGATAATTTTTTGATGATATATCAGTTATAATTCGATTTTGCATGATTTATTAGTTTGGTTCCCTTGTGAAAAAAAAAATTTTTTGAACAATTTTTGTTTTGAACATTAGTAATAAAATATATTTTAATATTTTTATTAAATATTTTTGTTAATCAAATTATCTCAACATCATTGACAACTGTTCAAATGTTATGAATTATCTCATGCTAAAGTTTTATTTTGTGAATCTTTTTTCATAGCCAAATCAATTTCATCTGAGATCAATGTATATAATTCATTTCATGTCCATGTTATTCCTGAAGAGATATCTTTGAAGTTTGTTTAGGATTTTTTTTTTCTTTCATGTCATCATTTTTAATTAGGATTTTATCATGTTTATTTAATCGAATTTCATACTGTAGTATGATTAATAATTGATACTCACCCAAAGTTACCATGATCAAGCACTTATCTTGACATAGATTTAAGCCGGGAACTACGAAATTAAAATTTGGACCATGCAAACTCTAATTTCAGCAAATTTATAGTCAAATTTAACGGCTTAATTAGGCAAATCTAATGATATCAACATTTGTCCACTCCAAGCCCAAATAAGCCCAGATCAAGGGATCAAAGCACATTTGAAAGCTTCAAAGCATTAAAATTTAATAATGAAATGATCTCTAAACAATACATATTTATTGTCAAACTGAGTTGCTTGACGAGCAAATCCAATGAGCTCAAGATCGCTTGATTTTGCATAAGGCGCTTATGCTAAATGAACACTATGATCGAGGGAATTAGTATAGGCCGTATGAAGCAGCACTTTGAATTTACTTTTGATCTTCTCCATATTTATAAAGTATAACACTCTCAAAATCTATAAATAGACTCTCATTTTTTACATGAAGGGAAACTTTTTGGGAAGCTTGGACCCTGGGCTAAAGACTCAAGAGATCTCTAAGGCTTGAAGAGTCTCAATACTCCACCTTGGCACCATTGCCAGGGAAACCTTGCCGCCTGACCACCACTGTTCGACCTTTGCATGGTCATCATCACCTTTGGACCTCCACTCGGCCGCCACAATAGTGTCTCATCTCGACCATCGTCTCCCGCCAAGTACAATCCATCTGATCTTCGTTACCCGACGACTAAGGTCCAACCTCTATCACCCTCCGATTATGATCCTTCTGATCTTTGTCGCCCGCTAACAATGGTCGCTCAAACCCCGTCACATTACAACGATCCCCTTAACCTCAGTTGCCCGACTATTGTCCTTTCAACCACTATCGCCAAACTACGGTCCCTCCAACCTTTATCTCTCAATTACGATTCATCCGACCATAGTATCTCACCGATTACAATCCCTCTAATCATAATTACACGATAACAATCTCTCCAATCTCCTTCACCCGACAATGATCCCATTTACCTTAGTCTTCCTACTAGAGTCTCTCAGACCTTTATCCCCCGCAGACTGCGGCATCATACAACTATTTAGGATAACGTCAAATTGAGCCTTAAGAACGTTACCGTCCATTTCGACTTATTCACCAAATATTATCTCAACCATACGTCCTGTTAAATTCAAACCCAGGTCGCCATTAGCAAATCCGACCGACTCCCGCAACCAAGCTCGATTCCCTCTTCGGCAGTCTTCTTCAATCTTCGCTACAAAAACCGCTTAACCAGACTGATTCTCTCAAAGTAGGTGGTTTTCAAAGAACCTTGTTTTACGCCTGTTTTCATTTCTCTTTCTTCCTTCCAATTACGCGTGCTCCACTAATTTATTATAATTCTCAACCGATTGATATTATATTTGGCCGTTACTTTCTCCGTATTTTAGGGTTTAATCGAGGAATATATCTACATCACGGAGACGTGAAGTCAAATCCTTGAAGCTGAATTTGTAGGATATTTTGCTTTTCCTGTACAGCGTAGAGTAATTATAGGCTTTTGGAGTAAGTTCTTCTTTTGATGTCTGAATTTGTTCCGCAACTGATCGGATTAGTCGATCATTGTGGGGATCTTTGGAAAGCTAGTTCGAGGTATCTTGTTGTTTTAGGGGCTGTTTGGCAACAAGTATGATTATTTGTTAATTAAATCATATTCTTAATTAATTTTAATTAACCTAGTTAATTTATTCCTATGATCTCTGGCAATTCCTGTTCATTGGGTTGCTTTTCCTCTTCTCCGGCTGTTTGTTGCTATTCGACTTCGTCTGCTTCCACGACGTTCCTTGCTGTCGGATCAGAAGTCACACCTCCTCGCCGTTCTTCTGTTGGATCGGAAGGAACGACGACGAGGGGAGCTTTCTCGTTGCGAAAGTAGCCATCTTTCTTCCGTTCGCGCGTTTCTTCGGCCAAATCCCGTAAATCGGCCGAAATCCCGGCAAAAAGAGGGAATCGGAGGATTTAATTCGCTGTTGGATTCAACAGTTCCCTAAATCCTGTTTGGCAGGGTTTGAAGGTGCTATATTAGTCGTAGAGATTTAGAAGGTAGGATTTAGGCAGGTTGTCTTATGAAATTCATTTGTTGTGTCTTCTCATGATTGATTTGATTGAAGAGGGTTGCTTTTAGTTTTCATATTTTAGTTGCGAAGATCTGAATTTCTTCTGTGCATCTTTTTTGTTTTGAAGGGAATCGCTTTTTATTAGATTACTAGTTACTGTATATTTTTTTGATGTATTATTTGATTTGTTATGCTCGTTAGATCTATCATGACGTGTTGTAATTATTTCTAGCACTGTATTTTCTTTCCTTATCAATTTTGTGGCTAATTCGATATGAGTAATTTTTTGCTTCTGCATTGCTTATCAGGTTGAGGAACTTCATGCTTTGGTTTGGATTTGGAATTTGCAGTTTTTTTCAAAATCTCTTATAGTAGAAGGTCCCAATTTTTGGGTATTTAAGTGTTCATTCTTGGTTCCTTCTGCTCTAATTTGCTCAAAGGCTGCAGTCAATGCATAAAGGCTGAGTTGGAATTTAATCTCTCTACAAATGAATGTATCATTTGTGCTAAATTTATATAAATCATCTGGCACATTGCGTTCCCATATATAGTGTTGTATTTCACCGGGTGGTATTCCTGGCATCAACATCTGAGAGGACAGATTCAGAAGAATATACCTTTTTCAGATATGAAAGTAGCCATGTGAGGATCATATAGTGCTTTGTTGACCTATTTGGCTTCTTAAACAAAGATTGGTTTATTTATCTTATGGTTATTTTATGAGATCAGGGTTTTAACATGAAGGCTGGCATCTAATTTCATCCAGGGCTGGGTTTTGGCATACATATACATTATTTGTTAAATCTAAAGAAATGGCCTTAAAGTTGCACGTTCTTATACTGCCATTGCTTATTATTTTTGTGTGGAATGGTTCTGCTACTATTGCAAAATCAGACAACATAATTGTTCAAAGGATGATAAGTGCTCCGCGGAGAGATATAGAGAGCACAGTTATTGATGGTTCAGGCAAAGAGGTTGGACTTCATAGTCCTGGGGTTATTTTCCACGGATTTGATGAGAGGAAAGTTGGTAGCAACAAAGTTTCACTATTTACAGTTGCATGGCTTACTCTTGCTATGGCTGCTGCAACTGGCTTGGGTGCAGTTCCTTTTTTCTTTGTGGAACTAGAGCCTGAATGGGCAGGTGTGTGCAATGGTTTGGCTGCCGGAGTGATGCTGGCTGCTAGCTTTGATTTGGTACAGGAAGGGCAAAGCTATGGTGGTGGCAATTTAGTGGTTATTGGAATTATGAGTGGAGCAGTTTTTATTTTACTTTGTAAGAAGGTATTTACCCGTGTTATCTACTTTGCTTTTTTAGTCTGGTTTTTTTTTTTAAATTTTAAACTTTGTGGACTATTTCTTTTCAAATTTTTTCTCAGTTTCTTTTAGTTTTTCCAAAGCGTTGATATATCCTATCATATGCATTGATTAGTTTTCAAGTGTAACTTCTATTAACTACACGTTCAAAATTGTCTCTAAACTGCCAAATTGATGAGGGGGCTTACACCCATAGCTTTAGTCTCATAAGAACAATATATATTTCAGTCAATCTCATTAATGTTGTTTTTCCAAATTTGATCTTGCGCATATTTTATTGCCTTTCCCTGCTTGTGCAGGATTGCTCATTTGATAATGCAGGTGTTATTATATTATTTTAAATTTTATCCTACTCCTCCCCCGCCCTCCACGTTTCTCTCTCTCTAAGGGATTCCTCTGTTTAGAATACAAATTTAAATGAACAGAGCAGTAATGATTGTTTCTTAAATCCATTGATTTCCTCAAGGAGTTCTTGAAAATCAATTTAGTTTCTATGAGAGGTATAATGAGTTGTTCTTTTGAGTATCAGACGTCATGGTTTTTTTTTTGGAAAGATTCCATTGGGAATGTTTTAATTGCTAGTATAATTTTATTCTTTTGTGATTATGAGACCTTATTGCACTTATATTTGTTACAATGTTGCCTGTTACTATCATGTTTTACTTGAGTCATGGAATGCATCTTCCTCTCAGAACTATGGGCATTATGAAAGTGTGCTAAACATGTATAATTTTCTTTTTCAGGTTCTCGAAAGATACGGCGAAGTAAGCATGTTAGATCTAAAAGGTGCTGATGCAAGTAAGGCTATACTGGTCATCGGAATAATGACATTGCATTCCTTTGGCGAAGGTTCAGGCGTTGGGGTATCATTTGCTGGGTCAAAAGGAGTTAACCAAGGCCTTTTTGTAACTCTAGCAATAGCTGTGCATAACATACCTGAAGGTTTAGCTGTGAGTATGGTTCTTGCATCACGAGGGATTTCTCCACATAATGCCATGCTGTGGAGTTTCATTACATCTTTGCCTCAGGTAAATGTTCACGGTTCTATTCCTACTCTTGATTTATGAATGAATAAATGAATGAATAAATGAGATTTATGGGTGTTGATTGTCATTTGCTTCATCGCCATGCTACCACATGTGAAATGACCTTTAAGAATTACCTTATACTTATTGCAAGAGAATTTTTGTTTCCTTCAAAGTAAGAAAAAAATCTATTTGTGATTTAGTGGCTTCATGTTTGTACGTAATTAAGTGTTCCTCTTATTTATCAAAGTATGTGTTTGATATTGCAAGATCATAGGCTACTGTGATATAAAGTATAACTTATTCCATTGATTTTATGTCTTGTATTCTTTAGCCACCATTAATCCTCTCATAGCACATCCTACTAGAACATATATATCATTAAAGCACTTCTAATAATTATCATTTCATCATCAAGTGTATATTGTAATATTTCTTCCATCTATTCGCAAAATTAATTTTGTAAACTATCTTCTAATATAAATTGATGAGCATGAGCACTAGCATGATTGATGATATCATTATTGGTAATTATCTTAATAGAAATCATCCTATCATTTGCCTTATTCCATCGACAATTTTATTTTTTAACTATTTATCCTTTATTATCCCAATTTTTATCATATTGTTAGCCTTTCTAATGCACAGCAGCTTATAATTTTTTGCAATATCTTTGGATTTTTCTCTATTCTATTTCTTTCTTATAAAAAAAACAGTAGCTATTATTCTTATGATCACTGTGCCAACCAATCCTTTTATATTTTCATTCAAAATACCCAAATTTCATTTAGCAAAATTTATCTCCGTTTTAGGCCTAGGCCCTTTAATGACACACTGCAACTTAACTCTTAATGGCAAGAAATCTGTTATGAGGGGTAATTTCTCGATTCCAAGGTTATTGATATTTGGAAATTGTATACAAGAGAGAATGGGGGATTTGAAAGGTCATAGATGAGGACGAAGGTATGAGATTCTCAATGGAGAGATAATGTTGTTAGGAAAAGGAGTGTGAATTTAAGAGCAAAATGAGAATTTGATTTAATTTGAATTCAATAATGAGCACAATGAACATAAGAAGGCATATTATAAATTGATCCAAAAAAGTAAAGTGGAGTTAGCTTTGAAAAAGATTTATATATGTAAAATTTTTTGTTCAAATTAGATACTTATTAAAATTTTGTGAGTTATTGAGGATATATGTTTTTGTTTAACAAATATTTTCAATAATATTTTGGAGGATAAAATAATCTCAAATGATTGGAGATACAATATTTTGGTAATATCCAAGAGCAAAAATGTTTGTTCAAGAGTGTGATGATTACAGAAAAATCAAACTTTTGAGTCATACAATGGAGACATGAGAGTGGCAATAAGATGTCATTGAATGATTTATAATCATTAAATTAGGCTCATCCTACATCGATAATGGAAGATTGACTTGGAAAACTATGTCAGTTTCATAGAATTTTTTTTTCGTGTCAAGAAAACCAATAATGGAAGCAAATTTATGATAGCCATTTACTGGATATGATTTGTATTGTTAGAAAATATGATTGAGAAGTGAGAACCCTCTAGAATTTATTTGGTGCACACTAAGGAAGAAAGGTACCGATTAAAGGTTTGTTAAAGCTATTAAATATATGTAGGATGGAGCATTAATTAGTATTTAAAGTAGTCATGAATTGACCAAAATGTTTCTAATTATATTAAAATTAGATTCATGACCAACATTGAATTCATCTATTTTTGTATTGATTATGAATGCACTTAAAAGTATATTCAAAGTGATGTGTCTTAGTATATGTTTTTTATAGATAATATAGGTTTAATCAATGAAACATTTGTCAAAACGATTTGAAAATTGAATAATGGAGAAAATATTTAGATGAATTAGTAGAACAAAGATTTAATTTATGTTATAACATTTTAATGACTGTGATACTAATAATTATGAATCAATAATATTAGAAGACTGACTGGTACCTTTGTATTATAGACATTGGCATTCTAGATCTATTATATTTTAGATTTAGTGGTGGGATGGTGACATTGGGTGATTAAGCCATAAAAAAGAGTGCACATTTTAGATATATCGGGTTTATTGTTCAAATAGATGGAGATATTATTAGTAGACTTCAAGTTGGACAGTTGGAGTGGATGAATGCATCGGGCATGTGTAATAAAAAAGTCCCTCAAACTTAAGTGAAAATTTTATGAGACGATAGTGACACCTGCAATGCTTTATGGACTAGAATGTTGGTTAATTAAGTTAAATAATGCAGAGATGAGGATGCTTAGGTGGATGAGTGGCTTTACACTTAGAAACTTATAAGAATCCTATCTCCATATAGCAAAAATATCAATAACGAAGAGAAAACATAATAAAAATTAAGAGATTATGGGCTAATTTTATTGATTCTAATAAATAGAACATGAATGATATTTAATCTAATTGATTCTAATAATTATATCCCACAGTTCTTGGAATCAATCCCACGGATCTTGATGTCAGAAGAGGAAATCTCCAATTGTAGCCCACGATTACACCCCACGGATTGCTGACCTATTAACATTGGGACAATTTTTTTAAAAAAGAGCCGTTGATTAATTTAATAAGGTGAAGGAGATTGCGGGGGAAATTTTTTTCTTATGCCTGCCATAAACCTTGGTAACGAGTGGCTTGCTGACCTATCTCTCCACACCCACCCAACTATTTTGGTAGTTGGGTTGGCCAGCGAGCTAGTGTTTTGGTACCCGATTTGGCAAGCGGCCCGGTTTAGGAGAGCGGGTTAAGTGGGTTAAGCGAGTGGGTAGTTAATTGGGTGGGCGTTCCGCACAATTAAAAAGCTAAGAAGTAGATAGGGGAGCGGGGAGTCATCATATTATTTATTTTTTTAATTATTTTTTTAATTTAATGTGTTGGCTGATTCAATATACCTCTTATTTTATTTTTATTTTTTAAAAGACAACTCACTGAAGCTAATTAATTTGATATGTAAATATTTGGTTCTATTAAATATTTTAATTAAATATGAAGCCAGTGCTTAAGTTAAATTTCAATTTTGATATGTTATTTTAGACCATAATTTCTCAAAGACCTTTAATTATAAATCTAAATAAATTTATTTAGTGAATTATAAATTGCAGTTTTTTTTAAAATAATGTATGAGTTATATTGGTTTGCACATGGTTGTAGGCATATCATTAAACAACATGAACAACCTCAAACCTTTATCCCACTATGTGGGATCGGCTATATGAAACTTTTTCTTCCATTGAGTCCTGTTAATAGTTAAATTTTCATCTGAATCTAATAAAGAAAGGCTATTTCTAATATTTTCTAACCAAGTCTTTTTAGGTCTACCTCAACCTTTCTTAACATAAGTCAAATCCAATACATCTACTTCCCTAACCGGGTCATTGGAAGGCTTCCGTTTTATGTGACCAAACCATCTCAGACGACTCTCTAATCTTATCTTCCACTGGAGCTACTCCAACCTTTTCACGTATATGCTCATTTTGTATCATGTCTCTAAGAGTAAAGCCACTCATCATCAGCAAAAAGCATACACCAAGGTACATCCATGACTAAAGCAAAAAGATATGGGCTTAAGGCTGATCCTTGATGTAATCCAACTGAAATAGGAAAATACTTAGTCAAACCACCTTGTGTTTGAACACAAGTAATAGCTCCTGCATACATTTCCTTAATGACTTGAATATAAGCATTAGGGGTGTCAACATTGGACCTGACCCGAACCCGACCAAAAAATTTTGGGTTTGGGTTGACCCGAACACGAAGCGGGTCGGGTTCAGGTCCTGAAAACCAACCCGTTTGCAAAACCGGGTCGGGTTCGGGTTGACCCGGGAACTCGGGAATGACTCGAAAACCCAGCTGCCCCGCGCCAACTGCCATGCTGCCTCACGCCCGCTGCCCCCTCTGCCATTGGCACTGTTGCAACTGCCGCTACCCGCCTAACGTGCTATCCCTAAACGGGTTGGGTCACTTCGGGTTTGGAAAATTGACCCGTTTACAAAAACGTGTCGGGTTCTAGCTCATTATTGCTTGAGCTGATGTTTTAGCTCATTATTAGAGGTGTTTGTTGGCAGAATTTGGTGACATTTGCTGGAGGAGTTTTGTTGGACGTTGGACCTTGTTGCTGTGGTGGACCATTGGTTTGCAAGCCCTTAGCACTTATCTTATTTTACCTGCTTTTTGCTGCATGTGAGGAACCTGCTTGCCGGTTCTTCTGAGGATAGTGTTTTTATTTTTAAACTTTGTTTCGTTTGTTCGACTTTGGTTTGTTTTGGTGTTTTGTTTGGATGTCAGCTTTCTAGTTTGAATCGAGTTTTGTTCTTCTAGTCCTAGTGTTCTCCTCTATTGACTCTTTATTTCTAGTTTGCCGGCATCAATTTAGTATCAGAGCAGGTTTGTCGAGTGAGTCTTGGTGTCATGAGAGATTATGATGTTATTTTTGGAGTAAAAAACCTGAGGGTTTTTTCTTTCTTCTTTGGTAAAGCTTGCGAGCTTGTTCCGTGCTTCCTCTCCTTCTTGGGAAAGCTTGCAAGCTTGTCCTTTCTTCGTCTCAGCTTCTAATCTCTTTCTTCTCGCCGCAAGTGACCACCCCATCTGTATCTTTCATCTCAAGCAAAGAAGATCTCCTTTAGGTGTTGTTTATGTTTGTGTTTGTAAGCGTCAAAAGTTGTAAAAGCGTCTTTTTATGATATCAAAAGTGTATTTTGAGTATTTCGTGTTATTTCTTATTATTCTAGGAAGAGTAACTTTTGCTTGCAAAATTAGGAGAAATCCTAATTTTTGCTTGCATCAGTAATGAGTTGGTTGTGTGTATTAATGTGGCTCTGCTGTCCACCCCCCTCTCTCTCCTCATTGATACAAACACGAGGAATTTATTTGGTTTTATTTGAAGAAATGTTTATTTCTCCAAAAATGTTGTTCGAAACAATGATTAAATCATATGCATAGTATAATGTTTTATTTATGTATTTATTGTTTGCTAAGAGTACTAAATATCCCTTTTTTAGTACCTTGCTTGATATCTATAGTGACAGTTTGCACTTTTTTTAACTTAGCCCATTGTTGCAATTCCATCTTTTCTCTGTGCTGATGCTTTTCACAAAGTTCTACCATTCTGTACTGGTTTTGCTGCTGGGTGCATGATATGGATGGTGATTGCAGAAGTTCTTCCGGATGCTTTCAAGGTATAATTATAAAACCAGCCTTTTCTAAACACGAGTTAATAAGATCCCTCATTCTTCTATGAAGCATTTTTTAAAAAAATAAATGAAGCCTTTGAACCGTCCAGGAGATTCTTCATACAGCTTAATTTCTTCTTTTGATCCTACTTATTCCCATCCTTTTTCTTTTGTTTTATTTCCAGGAAGCCTCCCCATCAAAAGTAGCTTCATCTGGTACACTTGCTGTGGCATTCATGGAAACCCTCAGCACAGTGCTCCAAGCTTTCAGCGGCGGCAACAAGTACCATACGTTCCTGTTCCCTTTGCTTTTTATTCATTAGACATTTTGCTTATCTATTTTTCTTTGTTTACCTGATTATGATTTTAAATTTTCCCACTTGCAGTTTGGCAGATGCTTCTGCCTTCCTGGTGTCACTATTATTTGGCCTTGGCCCATTAATCGGAGGCATCATTCTCATCAATTTTTCTCTTTTCTTGCGCCTTCCACACCCTCTACTATCAGGTATCTCCTCCGGCATTGCGTTGCTCATTGCTGCTTGGAGGCCCCTGCAGTTACTTCTATCATCAAAGATGAGTTTTTTCACACTTGCTCTGCTTCTCGCCGCTGGTTCTGGTTTCTTCCATGTGTCCACTTCAACGCTCTTGAAGTTGGGGCGCCATAAGAAATCTTCAGTCAATAATCTCCAAACTTCTGGCCTTTCTCTGAGCACCCTAACCCTTCAATCTATATTTGCCTGTGTTGCCATCTCATTGCATGCCTTTGCTGAAGGGCTGGCACTTGGTGTAGCTGCCCCAAAAGCTTATGGGCTTGGGCGACACTTGGTACTCCCGGTTTCTCTCCATGGTCTCCCACGAGGAGCAGCAGTGGCAAGTTGCATTTTTGGTGCCACTGATAGTTGGAGGGGAGCCCTTGTTGCTGCAGCCATGACTGGTCTTGCTGGACCTATCTCTGCTATTTGTGCTATACTTGCTGGAATCAACTACAACGGGCTTGATCACTGGATGGTTTTTGCCTGTGGAACCTTGATTCCAAGCTTCGGAATTGTGTGTAAGCGAGCTCTAAGGTTAGATAAACCTAAGAGCATTTATGGGTTTATGATTGGGCTTGGATTTGCATGTATATGTTTGATGTCCACAAGACTTGTCTGCCTACACACTCCTTACTGCAACTCTGCCCCTGAAGCTGTCACATGAATCTGTAGGTTTGGAGGGTTCCATCTCGATTTCTAAAGCACTTGATCCCATTGAATATTAGCAGGGCTTGGAAGGATGAATTTAGATTAGATTGTTTTAAAGGGAAAGAATGGCAGCTTAGTTGATTGAGGTAAGGATGATGGTTTGGCTTAGTAGTTGATTCTCATTTACATTTAGATTAGTTTCATATACCTCAATGAAGTGAATATATATGAAAAACTCTTATGAATATTATTGATCTGAATGGATTTTTTTTTTTCTAATCTTAAAATAAGAGGATTCAGCTATTACCTTTCTGGCATGTTTGATGCAATATGTAGAGCATGCACTTATTTCAGTATATCTTATTTTTATGACCGTTATGAGCCTCATCAAGCTCGAGCAATGTTATTCGAGTTTCCTGTCATTCAGTGCGCACTGCTTCTGATGGAATCGGTACTAAAATTTTTCACTGCTGTTGAACGTTAAGGAGGGCTTCTGATTTGTTTAGAATTTTGGTATGTGAAATTTTGATTTGTCAGAAATATTCAATTGGAAAACCTATGTACTTTCTTTCAAGGGCGGAGCTGTGCAGTGCTGAGGGGGCAATTAAAACTCTTAGTATATTGAGAGTTATTTGTATTCTGAGATAATTTTTTTGTTGCTTTTTAAAACAATTTTCTAGTAAAAAAAATTTTGAATTAAAATTTTTTATATTAGAAAGCAGTAAGAAAACTCCTCCAAATGAAGCCTAAGGCTTCGTTTGAGACAGCTTTCTTCTTACCGCTTCTTAGAACATCTTTTTAGTACAAAAAATTTAATTTGTGTACTAAAAAGTTATCTTAGAAAGCAGTAAGAAAGCCATTTCAAATAAAACCTAAATCTACAATATTGTGGCATCTGGAAGTTTATTACAAAATTTATTTGTGTAAGAATATTATTCCCTCCTTGATTATGAACACTGCGTATGAGTTTCGATTACTTCGATTTAGAGAAATCTGGCATCTTATATTTATAGCTGTTCTTTAATTTCTTCTTCCTATATTTTGGTAAAAGCAAAAAAGCGTAAAACCTCCAGAGTAATGTAGGTCTGCAATTCAATAGATAATATATTTGGTAGTCTTTTCATCTTGAAGGTCGGTATCAGATTATTAATGGATCGAATAAGCGCATCTTGATTCATGTGTTTTGGTTAATTAATATCTTGATGGGCAACGCTACATAGAGTAATTCTATTCGGTTATAATTGAGACAAGTTGGTTCGAACTCGACTCCATAATAGTCTCGTGAGCTCGAGTTTGAACTTGATGAGGCTCGACTTGCGAGCAGGCTCAAATGACTGTTAGAATTTTCTTATTTTTTTTTTAATTTGAAAGTTTAGAAATATAGGGCTTTAAAAACTGGACTGGACTGGCCGGTCTGACCAGTTCAATCGTGAACCGATTTGAAGACCGGTCCAGTTCAGCTTGAAAACTAGCTTTGCTTCAAAACAACCGATTTCAGTTAGAACTGTCAGTTCAACCCGCGAATCGGTCCCGATATTTTAAAACCAACCAGTTCAAGTTTTTTTTTTTAATTTAAACAATTAAACAATTTTTTTATCATGAGTAAAAATAAAAAATTATATAAACTATACAAAGCATTTTATATATTATAAAGTTTATATGGATTCCATTAACTTTACAATATATAAAATGAATCCAGTTATAAACTATTATATTAATTTTTATCTATTTATTTTGTATATATTTGATATAAATTATAATATCTATTTAAATATTTATATATTTAATTATATATTATAAATCTAAAAAAAATAAAGATCTTCCACCTCGACCTCAACAAGATTGTCAATATATTCCGAAGAAGGAATATACTCAATTGAATATGTCATGTGTTAATATTTTCATGACTATACAAAATGAAAGAACTCTTAAATGGTCCAATCCATTGAAACCAAACATTGGCAATCATGATTATTATTGTCACTTTCATCGAAGCAGAAGACATACTATTGAAGTTTGCGTACAGTTGAAAGGAAAAATTAAAGGGTTAATTCAATAGGGATATCTTCATCAATTCATTCAAAATTCACTTAATTGAAATGAAACTAATCATACTGGGGGTAGAAAAACAACAACAACAAAAACAAAATAATTATCAAATGATTGGAAAAATTAAAACTATTTTTGGAGGACCTCTAATGTCCTCTCAGGTTCTCTTCACTACCCTAGAAGAACCGGCATTGAAGAAATCTCGAAAATATCAATCCATCATTTTTAATGATTCTAACATAGAAGGGATCTAGACTCCTCACCAAGATCAACTTGTTATCAATGCTAGCATTGAAGGTACTTTCTATAATGTTAATTGAATCCTTATTGATAATGAAAGTTACTTGATGTTTTGTTCTACTCTACATTTCTCAATATAGGTTTAGTTAGAGAAAACTCCAACCAATTGCATGACCATTATATGGCTTTGATAATCGACTAGTAAGAGTTGAAGGAACAATCACACTCCCTATTAATTTGGATGGATTCCCTCAATAAACAACACATATGATTCAATTTATTGTTGTTAAGGAAGAATCCACGTACAATACTATCTTTGGAAGACCTTTGCAGTCAATTTTTGATGTTATCACTTCAGTGCCACACCTAAAGCTAAAATTCCCAACTCGAACTAGAATTGGTGAAGTGCGAGAAAATCAACAAGTGGCATAATCTTGCTATCTTAAAAAAGCTCAACCACACCAGTCTATTATCTTAAGCATCAAAATTTATGATCTCTAGAATGAAGACGTCACTCAAAGGGCTTCCCTCATGGAGGGCCTTTGAGTGCCCGAACCATGGGCTAAAGATCAAGTGAGCTATTATGCTTAAAAGAATCTTGGAGCTTCACCTCTGCCCCACGGCCCCACCACCGACATTCAGAAATATTATCAGTAGCTGCTATTAAAATTACTTACTATATAGCATATATGTTTTATGAATTTAAGTTAAATCATGGTTATATTGTGTTTTTTAATATAATAAGACTTCATATGACCATTATTATCATTATCTTCATTTCCAAACAAGATCACAGTGATTGTCCTAAACTAAATATAAAATCTAACATTGATTCAATAAATACACAATATTCATTGTATGTCAATCAATAGATGATCAATCCTAGGGGGATTCGATCTTACCTTTTTCGCACGTGTTAACATCATTGAGCAACACTCTGACAAAAATAACTTTGGATATGTCAAACATCATTGGTGGACTCTCTCAGCCACTTTCACATATGTTAGCGTCATTGAGCAACACTCTGACAAACAACTTCATATAGGTCAAATATCCTTGGTGGATTTTCTCAGCATCTTCCACATAAGTTAACTTTATCGAGGAACAATCTGACAAATAATATCAGATAAGTCAAAAATCTTTGATGGATTTTCTTAGTCTCTTCCATACAGTTTAACGTCATAAAGTAACGCTCTGACAAATAACCTTGGAAAGGAGCACCCATGGGGTAACCTCGTAGAAAAATTAGTATTGGACATGATCCTTACTAACTGGTTTCATGAATGAAAGCGGTTGACAGGGTCACCACTCATTTAAAAATATCAAAAAATTAAAGCCTCAAAAGATATATATATATATCTTCGAATCCTCAAAGTTAAAAGATGTATAAGGAATAAATGTCTATAATCAAGTTGCTTTAACTGGGAGGAAAATTAACAAACAAAAAATATTCTTACGTGAATATGTGATCTTCTTACTTCAAAAGTAAATATGAATGTATCAAAGCAATGCAACGTCCTAGAAATTACATAATAAAATTTATTTCAGGTTCGAGCACACAGTCATTTTCATAAGAAGCTAGAATAAAATTATATATAGTAAAGTGCTTTCATCAACATCATCTCATGCACTCTATTAAATCATGGTGGATGAGCACATGTCCGATTGGACCTTTCTAGGGCAATAATCAACACATCACTTAACTCCTTGCAAATCACCACCAAAAAATTAGACGTCCAATTAATTGGCAACATAAGTTTAATGCTATGCTGTTGCAGTTGACACATTTTTGGTTCCCATTCTTCTCAAGTTATCCACTATTTGTCAGCATCATGATACATACTTTCTATCTCCAAAAAAATGTAGCTCGACCATTAATCATCTTCAATATTATGCTCGTCCCCTGATTATCACTGGTTATCCTCTAGGGTGTTACTACCTCCATATCTCTTTATATCATTATTCAACGTAGAAGATTGTGGCTAATACTCTTTAAGTTATTGGTAGTTTAGCGGAGAATTATTATCCATCAGAACTTTTACACAAAGAGGGGTACTATAGCTTAGTAGGGGATGTCGCATATCTAAAAAATGAAATACTTCTAATATAAAAAGAAATGTAAGGGTCATTTCTTCTACACAATGAGGGGCACTAAAGTTTTATAAGGGACACCACCTATCCAAGATAATAGAATGTCTCTAATGTGAGAATAAGTGCAGGAAAGAAGGAGAAGAATTGCAAATGTTACTCCTTCAACACAAAGAGGGACACTAGAGCTTGATAGGGGATTTCACCTATCCAAGATAATGGAATGCCTCTATTATAAGACGAAATGTAATATTTACTCCTACACAATAAGGGGTACTAAAACTTGATAGGAGATGTCATTTATCCAAGATAGTGGAATGCCTCTAATGTAAGAAGAAGTGAAGAAGAAAAGGAGAAGAAAAAAAAAAGTTTGGAAGAAAAATTGCCCCCACCCCTAAGGGGAATATTTATATGTGGAAGAGAGGAGGAGATGCAGTGAATATTCCATAATATTTTGGAAATTTTTAATATATGTTTTGGAATTTTAAAAGCCAAAACTCAATTATTTTTATCAAAATTATATATTATTAATATTAAATTAAAATTTTATTCATATCGAGGAGGCACTAGGGTATATGAAAAGTTATTCTAGAATTTTTTGAGATTATTTAAAAGTTTTTAATTTTTAGAATTTGAAAGGTCAAAATTACTCTATAATTTAAAAAAAAAAAATTCTAACGGGGCGATGTACATGCCCCATTCAAGTGTAAGGCGTGCGTGCCAACCAATGCGTAGGGAGGGCTACTGGCACCGCCAGCCTGTTCCGGGCTAGATTTTCAGTTCAAACGATAAAATTTGGATGTTTTTGGGGTATCAGAAACCTTTTTTCTTTTTTTGGACATTCTGAACTATATTTTGATACATTTAGAGACAAATGAAGTCCCTACAGTTAGCTAAGTGTGATTTTGATTGGCGTGGTGACTTTAGTGCATGCTAAAATTATTATCAATACTGTTTTACTTGGTTCAAGGCTCTAAGGGATAGTCTATGTTGATGTCCAAGGAACAATCGCACCTCATAATTTGTCTGATGCTAAAAGTTGTACCTACTATTTTTCGAAAGCTCTGAGATATATTTTTGGACTTTGTAAGCTTTATTGTCCAAAAATAGGGGACAACTAATATGCCACCAAAAAATTGCCTTGATCGGCACGAATCTTGATGTAAATATGAATTGGAAATTTCTTAAATTAAAGTAGGAATCGTCCAAGCTCTGATTTCAACAAACTTATGGTCGAATTGAAAATCTCGACGAGATGAACACAACAATACCAAAATCAATTCAATCCAACCCCAAATGAACCCAAATCAAGGGTCCAAAGCATATTTGAAGGGTTTTAAGTATTAATTAGATAACCAGTTGATTGTCGAATATGACATGCTTATAGGAAAATCGAGCGGCTCGACAGGATGATTTCAATGAGCCTAAGATAAGTTAATTCTGACATCATTAAAACACATAAATTTTTTATAAATGTTTTATGATTAAAGGATCACTATCAGTCATCTGATGGAACACTCTATATAGGCATTTGATCTTCTCAATATTTACAAGACATGCCACTCTAAAAAAATTATAAATAGCCCCACATTCTTCACATGAAGAAAGGAGGAGAAAACTTGGGTGTTCTCTTGCCATGACTAATAACCATCAACATTCTTCCGGACCACCAACATTTTTTTAGATCACCGACGTTCTTCTCGACCACTGACCGTTGTTAGACTTCTACTTGTTCATTGGTCGCCGTCAGATTTCTTCCCAACCATCGACCATTGCTGAACTTGTGCTCATTCTTGGACCATCACCATATCTTTATACTAAGAATATATGTCTGAAGATTAACAAAACTATACAATACATTGTATTCTCCTTGTCCATGGAGTGAAGGACGTATTGACTTCTATAATATATTCAAATACTTATGGAATAGTTTCAATTGGGCAAGGCCCCATGGGTTTTTATTTTCTTAGGATTTTTCACATAAAAATCTTAGGTATTTTATTTATCATCTATTTGCTTAGACTTTCATACATTGCTAAGATAAAGTATTTTCAAAATTTTCTGCCCGCAATAGTCTTAATGATGTCAAAACCAATTATCCTAAGTTTGTTAGATTCGTCTCACCGAGATGCTTAATTTGATCATAAGCATGTAATATATGGAGATTGTTTTGTACCTCAATTAATATTTAAAAGTTCTCAAATATGTTTCACGTGCTTGATTAAAGCACATTTGGAATCAAATTGAATCATTTTGAGTGCCAATGTATTGACTTGTCGAGATGTTCAGTTCAAATATAAATTTACTGAAATCGGATTTCGATGATCATGAATTAAATTCTAAAAGTTTTCAATTCAAATGTTGCATCGACATTCATATTCATCAAGCAAAATTTTTTTTTAAAGATTTATCATAACTAATGAGAAGGATGAATGAAATAAGGGCTATATAAAAGCTCAGGGATAAGCTAAATAAGCCAAGCATGTGTGCTGCTGTTTTATGTTGGTTCTATAGAAATCCATTTTACATTAATGATATTATATAAATAATAAATAATAATTTTTTTTTTTTTAGTTTTGATTTAATTATTAAGCACGCGCCTGTGTAAAGCACGCGCCTCATTCGCCTGACCGCACCGAAGGAGATTTACAATCAGCCGTCCCTGATCTGATGGTTTGATAGATAAGCGCAGAAGGTTGGCGGTCTTCTATAAGATCCCTCCGGACCCCTGCTGTAATCTGATCTCCATAGAGGAGTTGAGGGGGCTGAGAAAGGGAGAGCGAGGATGAAGATTTTCCATGTCCCTTGCCTCGAAGACAACTACGCCTACTTGTATTGTATCCTCTTCCGAAAACCCTAATTTTATCTTTGTTCCGCGTCATTTGCTTTCCTCAATCCATGCTTTTCAATGACAGAATCGTGGATGAGAGCACGAAGGAGGCGGCCGCCGTCGATCCCGTCGAGCCAGAGAAGATAATCCGCAAGGCGAGCGAAATCGGCGCCGACCTCAAGCTCGTTCTCACAACACACCATCATTGGTTCTCTCCACCTTCTTTGTCACCCTTGATTTTCTTATTATTGTTTTAAAACGGCTACCATAAGTGCCATGGACGAGTCTGAAACTACGATTGTTTTTTGGGTAGCTTGTTTAATTTATGCTTATTTTGTAATCATTATTTTCGATAGGGATCATGCTGGTGGGAATGAGAGGATCAAGGATTTGGTGCCTGGAATCAAAGTTTTCGGTGGTTCACTTGATAGCGTCAAAGGATGCACCAACAAAGTGGATAACGGGGATAAGGTTACTCTGGGCTCAGATGTCAATATATTGTGTCTTCACACTCCCTGGTATGATGCATTATCTTTGTTTTGGTAATACTTCATTCAGTTGTAATAAATCTCCTTTTTTATTTTGTTTCTAGCGCCGCATAAGTTTTATTTATTGTATGAAACTTTTTTCGTGTTAGAATAATTGATTGAAGTTGAAGGAACTAAGCCGAAATTTATGTGATATGGATATTTAACTTCTCCTTGTTGGTCATCTTGCGCATGGATTTCCTTAATGCGATTCGTTTGAATTGTTGTTTATGATCTTATGGAATCTGAGTTGTATTTGAAATTACACCGTGTTCGTCTGGAAATGAGTATTTCACCTGAAATGAGTATTTCTACAAGTGGTAAAATTTTTAAAGAAAATTAAATTTTTCTAGGACTTCTAATTTCTCTTAAACCGTGTTTCAAAACTCAAGATAATAAGCTAAGAATTGCTCTCCTCATTAATAAGTTTTCTTTGCTATGCTTGTAATATAACAATGGAAAAATTCAAATATCAATGCCGGCTTGTTACTCAAAATTAAATGAAGTTATATTTCATTTGACTATTTATGCATGATTGAGTTTTTCTATCAACATTCAAATTTAAGATCAAGATAAGTGTATCATGACATAAGAACAACTCGGTTATTGAGTTGGTCTATCTATATGAAGTTGCGGCCATAGATCAAATATAAAGAAGAAATATGTGGTTTTCAATTTCATTCCTCAAAACACTACTTTATTTGTTCATTTTGAAACAGATTGTTGAAATGATTTTAGATGCTATAAGATGCATCCTTAGAAGCCTCCGTTTGATTTTGGTGTTCTTGCTGTACAAAATGAGTATATTATTTATTGGACTGTTTTGTGATTGCATGAACCATTTTGATTAGGAATTCCTAAAAAGATTGGTCTTTTACCTTAATTTTTTGAAAAATTAAAAGATGTCTTTAATGCTTTAAACTGCTTCAAAAAGGGTTTTATATCAAATTATAGAGAAAGATTTTGTTAGTTCGCTACTATGCGAGATTTAAACATTACTAATATGCTTACCGTCCCTCCTTGCCCCATTTGAAGGCATGCATATGTAATATTGAGTTTTATCCCTATTAAACTACCCAACCTTTCTAACTTTAATTTTATGCTTAGAATCTAAAAAAATGTTTCAAGATCAAACTTTGATTTGTTTGTGATGTTCCTGTCAGCCATACAAAAGGTCATATAAGTTATTATGTCACGAGTAAAGAAGAAGAAGATCCTGCTGTTTTTACTGGAGACACATTGGTAATTTTTACCATTTTATTTTTTAGAATTCTAATATATTAGCATTTTTAGCAACAGAAGGCTCAACGCCTTTTTTCTACTGATTTATAGTTTATTGCTGGTTGTGGAAAGTTCTTTGAAGGAACTGCTGAAGATATGTACCAATCATTATCTGTGACATTAGGTTCATTGCCAAAACCTACTAGAGTATTTTGTGGGCATGAGGTAATTCTCTGATTCTTTGTGATTTTTGTTGATTTTCATTAATGATGTGCTTATTCTTTGTTTCATTTTTGAACTTGTTCAAACAGATTTATTTTATTAAAAAAAGGAAAATATTCCGTGAGGAAGTTTGTTCACATAGCATAGGATGTATATCTTAATAATATAAAGAAAATGTTAAAAAAAATATTTCCCCTAGAGTAAGAATGTAAGATTATTGAAAGGTCTTTCAAGATAGTTAACTATAATTGGAGTTCTTTAGTTGAACCTAATCTATTATGGGATTAGATGTGTAGTTTTATTAAGAAACTTGTTGTAGAGGTCTCGGGTGATTCTAATAATAGATCGTTCATTAATAAGTAGATTTGGTTGTGGATTAAGGTACAAAAGGCTGTTTAGGAAAAGAAGTATGGTTTAAAAGAGTGGCAATAGATGAATACTTCTAATGCGTATAACTTTTATAAGAAAGCTTGAAGTCTTGCAAAGATGTTGATGAGCAAAGCAAAAAATATAACCTTTAGCACTTATGATAGGTTGGGAGCTTAAAAAAAGGGAGAAAATAAGATATATGAATAGCTAAGTTTAGAAAGAAGAGATCTAAGGATTTCATCAAGTTAGATGCTTGATACATTAAAAGTGAAGATAATTAGATCTTAGTTAATGATGAAGATATGAATGAAAGATAAAAATGCTAATTTAAGAAATTATTAAATGATAATTTTATTGAAGAGCATAATATGCAATTTTTTATTGTAGACTGATCCGAAAAAAGAAGTAGATTTAGCTCTAAAGGCCATGCTTGATACCTATTGAGATTTGAAGAGTTAGGAATGATATTGTACTGGTTTGGTTAACAAATATTTTTTATAGAAATTTTAATATTAAGTGGATGCCAAATGAGCGGAGAAGAAGCATTTTAACATTAATATTTGTGAAGAAAATATATATTTAAAATTTTGATAATAAGTAATGGAAGATAGACTTAAAAAATACATTGGTATTGGAGAATTAATTTGATTTTATATAAAAAAGATCCATTATAGAAGTTATTTTAATGCCAAGATAACTATTGGAAAAGTTTAGAGAGTAGAAAAATGGTTTTCATGCCGTTTTTATTGATCTTAAAGAAGGTTTGTGATTGAAAAGCATGAGATTTGAATTGTTTTGTATAAGAAAAAATGTGTTTTCCAAAGACATGTTAAAGTTCTTGAAGATATATATGATAGAATATTGATTACTATTAAACTAGCTAAGCGACCAAATAATTTTTAATTATAGTTGATGATCAACATCAAATCTAGAACTTTTTGTATTGGTTAAATATGCTTACAAATGATATTCAAATTGAGGTGCATTAGTATATATTTTTAGAAGATAATTCTAATTGTTTAGATATATAATAAAATAAGTAAAAAGTTAAGACAATGAAGAAGTGTTATAGAAGACTAAGGCCTTAGGATTAAATGAACAAATAATTGACTATTTGGTATGTAATTTTAGTTGGTATGATATTAATAATTATTTGTCATTATTACTAGAAAATGAAATGATATTTAGATGTGATAGATATAAGTATCTTGGTTTTGTATTGTAGAAGAATAGGGATATAAATATTGATATAATTTTTAGAGTTAAGATTTGATTTCTAAAATAGGGAGGTGTTTTATGAGCATGATGCACTTAAAGCAAATCATGCAACTTTAAAGGTAAATTTTGAGATATAATGAGGCCAATTGTATTGTATGCATCTGAGTGTTGGTAAAGAGATCATTGATAGCCAAATTAATTATGATAGAAATGAGAAGTTTAAGATGAATGTGTGAACAAATTAAAACACTAGTTGTTGAATGATTTTATTAAAAAAATTATGAGAGTAGTATACATTGAATATAAGATAAAGCTGAGTCTGGGTAGTTTGAATAATGCCAATACTGATGATAACTAAATTAGGAAATTAGTATTCGATGGATTAAACTATATGCTCTTTTCCGAAGAGCTTACCTTAAATGGTGCTTAGTTTGGTGTGCATGACTTCACTTTGTTCAAAATGGACTTCTGTAATTGGTTGGTCCTGCAGTTTGCCCACTAAAGATTTGATGCTCTGAACAATTTTAGCTGAAAGACATTTCTGCTTCCATTTCATCATTATTATCATTGCAGAGATAGTGTAACATTGGCATGCTTTGGTTGTGCTATGTGAAATCAGTTTGCGGCATAGGCTTGTGTACTTTAGTGCACTTTAAGAGAAAAAAATGTAGAATAGATACTCCGGCTTATGCTACTATTCTTGTGTGCATTTCTAGGAAAAGGATATAGGATGGATACATTTTTTCTGTCTCCTAGCTACTTAATGAGTAACATAAACAGTAACTTCCTAGCAGCATGTTTGCGGTTTGTAACTTTACATAATGATGATGATGGCCAATAATTGATCTTAGAAAAGAAAAAATAAATACAATTTTTTTTCCTTATCCATGTAGAATTTATCAAAATTAATAGTTGTTATAGTGGTTGTTCATATTTTGTGGTTACAGTTGCTATTCTACTCTTAAAAATTTCGTATGTGGTAACATTTTAGAGATGTCCAGTACACAGAGAAGAACTTGAGGTTTGCATTAACTGTGGAGCCAGATAATAAGGAAATATCTCAGAAGCTTCAATGGTCTCAGCAGCAAAGAAAAGCAAATTTCCCAACAATCCCCTCGACCATTGGAGAGGAGTTTGAAACTAATCCGTTCATGCGTGTTGATTTACCCCAACTACAGGTACTGGAATATTTGCGTGATTTTTTTTCTTCACATAGTTATTCCTTTTGTTGTGAATTAAAGTTGGGATGATTAACTTCAAGCAACTATTTTGATCGGCATTTTCCTTCAGTCGTTTGGTATGTCATGCTTTGTTGTGTAATAAAAAGAGCAATTAAAAAAGCTGAAACATTAATGGTTAGATGAATATTTAGAGGAACAGGCCTCAATGTAGATGTATTGAGGGGGTGCTTATTGGATGATCTTGTATTTATAGCAGGGGAGAGTAAAAAATTGTTGTACTTATCCTCTTTTATTCTTCTCCAAATAACACATTTTCTATTGTTAATTTAGTTATAATGAACATTTCATTATATAAGAATATAGAAAATGAGTTATTGAAATTAAAAGATAAAATAAATCTCCAAAAAATTGGCAGATGATTGGGATCACTTTTATATTTATATTTTTATTTTTGTTTTTTTTTTAACATATTTCTTTTGTGCATTTTATAAATATCTTATTTTTCTCTAAAAATATCAATGCCAACAATTGCCACCGCTTTATTTCTTTTACCTCTTGTATGATGTATGGTTGATTGTTTTTTGCCTGCACTAATCGAACAATAAATAACAATGTAGAGATTCAAATTAATTATTCTTTTATATTTTTTTTTTCTTTTCTCTATTTTACCCGTTTACATAACCTTATCTAACTATCCTTTTGGCTTTTTTTTATTATTATTCAACAAAGGTGGATGAGATATTTTGCTAAACTTTTTAATGAAGATTGTGAAAATTAAGAAAATGAAGGGTGGAAAAGCTGTTGGACCTGATGATATTCCAATAGAGGTGTGGAAATACTTAGGAGATGAAGGAATTTCTTGGCTTACTAAACTTTTTAATACTATTTTGAAGATTAAAAAGATGCCAGATGAGTGGAGAATGAGTGTGTTAATACCTATTTTTAAGAATAAAGGTGATGCACAAGATTGTGCAAATTATAGAGGTATTAAGTTATTGTGTCATACTTTAAAACTATGGAAGCGAGTTATGGAGCATAGGTTGCGGCGTGATACTAATGTTTCTCAAAATCAATTTGGATTCATGCCGGGTAGGTCGACTATGGAAGTCATACATTTATTAAGAGGTTTGATGGAGAAATATAGAGAAAATAAAGATGATCTACATATGATATTTATTGATTTAGAAAAAGCATATGATAAAGTTCCAAGAGAAGTGTTATGGAGAGTTCTTGAAAAGAAAGCAAAACACAAAAAATACCACTTAACTTTATAAAAGAGTTTAAAAACTGTTGAATTTATTTTGAGTTTTAATATATCCTTAGTATTATCTAAATAACAATTTCATTGCAATGTACATTCCAATACGACCTAAACTAACCCAAACAAACGTAGGTTGAGACTGTTGAGTCAGCATTCTCTTTGGTATACAGATGCCAAATGGTACATTATTGTATGTCAGGCTAGGTTAACTCATACCAGGCTAACCTAACTAAAGTCAGGCTTACCTGACTCAAATCAGGTTTGCCAAAGCTATGCTTGTTATTATGTATTTCTTCCTTGTAAAATTGGAGGAGCTATATATGGTAAATTGTATTACTTCTGAAAATTTTATGTATCATTTATAAATATTTGCTATTTATCAGTGCCGGTAAAAGTTTTGTGGCTGAAATTTTGATGCTGAGGAGAGTTATAGCAACGGGAAAAATGGCTCTTCTTGTTCTTCCCTATGTATCAATTTGTGCAGAAAAGGTACTTTCATTCATCGTTTCGTTGTTAATTATAGGATTTTTAGTATCATTAATATGTTTTACACAATTTCATGTAGGCTGAACATTTGGAACTACTACTTCAGCCTCTTGGCAAGCATGTGCGTAGCTTCTATGGAAACCAAGGTGGTGGCTCACTTCCCAAAGATACATCAGTAGCCGTTTGTACAATCGAGAAAGCCAATTCCTTGATTAATAGGTTGTTAGAAGAGGGTCGTCTTTCTGAAGTTGGAATTATTGTGATTGATGAACTTCATATGGTGAGTTGTCTATTTGATTCTTATATTATCTTGTTTAATTCATGTATGTAAATCAAAGCTATAATTTTCTCTCTTTTTTAGATCAACAAACTCTTTTTAGATGTGAATCATGATAATCGGGGCAGCATAGAAACCTGGAATTTATTTGTGTGAATATAGTTTCCATACCTTTTTTCTCATGAAAAGAGGTAGAGAGGCAAAAGGTGGAGAGATGCATGGAAGAGAAATAAATACATAAAATTGATACTGATATGTGTAAGTGAACACTGACATATTTATAAAAATTAGAGCCAAACAACAGTTGATTCAATTTTTATACTAAATTGATGTATGATATGCAACATGATAGTAAAACAACCATGAAATTTGAAAATAAAGACTTTAGTATCAAATTCTCAAGCTGTTGATGTTGATTCCTCAATAACCGTTTGTCAAATCCTTAAAGCAAGAAAGCTAGGGAGAGCCTCAATAAGGGCTGACAAAATTTTTGATAAGACATTAGTCAGAGATTTCAACATGTGTATCGTCGACATAGTCATGGGTCGACGGTTAAGATTCAGAGCCTGTATTTGTGATGTATTTTCTGTTTTATGTTTTATGTTTCCCCTTTTACCCCTATGGGGAGTTGAGTCTATGTTGTAGCCCGAGGGCAATTTAGTCTTTTTTGTTTTCTTTTATTTGGGCCTATTTATAGGAGGCCTCTTGCATTGTACTAGTGGATGATTATTGAATGAAGTTTTATGTTCTTTGTTTTGATCTCTAAGTGAGTTCATGATAGGAGAAACCCGAGGAGGGTGATAACAAGACCTGTCAACCGTCGGAGGATTCCAATGTTCGCGGCCCCGATCTCTTCTTCTTCCCTAACATATACGTCCTCTCCTAACCCCTCACCCGCCGGCCTCCCTAACCAATACCCTTTTTTTTTCTTCCCACAACCCGAGCCCTACCCCATACCGCCGGCCTCCTTGGATGCCCCACCCGCAGGCCAAACACCTAGCCGCCGGCCTCCCCACCTCCACCTTCCCTTTCCTTAATTTAACCACCGACCTCCTCTTCCCCCATTATTTTCAAAATTTGAAATTCAAATTGAGTTTCAAAGTTTCCAAATTTGACTAAAGCCAAATTAGGAAAGTTTCCAATGAGAATCTGATGAGGTCATCGATAGCCGAAATCTCCTATCGATGACCTCATCATTCTCCCCGGGTGGGAGAGAACTCGACCCCGTCGAGTGCGTACTACGGAAGCTCTCATATACTTGTACCATCAGTTTTATTATTATGCTTTTATTTTCGTAGTTTCCCATTTTACCCCTGAGGGTAGTAGTTGCTTTTGTAGCCCCAAGGGGCATTTTAGACTTTTGTACTTTCTTTTCTTTGGAGCCTATTTATATGGTCATTGTATCTTGTATGAGAATTATTGAATGAAAATTTGTGATTTGTGTTCTCTTTGTGAGTGCCAAAGATGTGGATCTCTTTGTGAGTTCCATTAGAGATCTCTTAGTGAGTTCTCGAATTACTACATGCAATCACCTTCTTCCCTCCACTCATCTCCCGCATGCAATTCGCAATCGTGGAAAGGAGCCAAATTCTCGTGAGAAGTTAGCTTCCTTGGAGTCCACCCGCCGGCCACCCGAGGCCCGCTGGCCAATCACCTTGCCGCCGGCCATCCTCCCCCCTCCACCTTCTCTCCACTTTCTTTCCCCCACCACTTCCTCATGGAAATTTGAAATTTTCAAATTTCACTACTTGCCAAATTGGGAATTTCCAATTTTGTAAAGTTTTGAAAATTAATCCAAAACAAAAATTGCATGATAGTGGATTTTATTTCATATTTTCCTAGTCAACAATTCTTACTTGGAAACCCTCATTCCCCCTTCCCCAATTCCCTCCCTCTCTAGCTCATGCCGCCGGCCCCCATATGGGAAATCCATTAATTGCTCAATTACTCCCCCCTAATTTTAATTTGAAATTCAAATTAGAATTAAATTTTTCCCTCCCCTTCTTTTAAAACTGAAATATTTTCAGTTTTATTTCTTCTCCCCCTCTCTCTCCCTACCGTCGGTTCACCCTATTCCCTCCCATAATTGAAAATTTCAATTAATGCCTTAATTACATTAATTGCAATTTCAAAATCCCTAAATTTTCCCTCCTCATATTCCAAAACTGAAATCAAATTTCAGTTGTGCACCTAGCCCGCCCCCTCTCCTCCCTGCTCTTCCGCCGGCCGACCCTCTCCCTTAGCCAAGCCGCCGTTCCACCCCTCCTCCTTGGAAGATCTTGCTTGCGGCGACCTTCCGGATCCACCCCAAGGATGCATGGACGAACCCGAGTGGAACTACGGGTTTGAATACGACCGCAACGGAAGAGTCAACATCTTGCGATCACAATTCTTTGACGTCGGATTTGACTTCGACGATACCGTCGAAGAATACTTGGACCGAATCTTGCCGACGCTTGTAGACTCCATTGACGAACACTTCTCCGTCTACACTTGGATTATCAAAGGTCGAGCTATCGCGCCTCCTCCGCCTCCGAGATCCTCTTCCATGGCAACATTCCTTGGTACCTCCATCTTAGTGGCAACCTCCATGCTAGTTTGGACAATCTTCCGTCGCTCAACTTAGTCTCTGTAGGAAGAGAGTGTTAAAGGTCTCAAAGTGTGAACAATTTGGTATTAACTGTGGTATTTTTATTTACTAGCCTTTGTTTTATGTTTTCCTTCGCATTTTCTTAAACGATTTAGCTCTCTTATTGTAGTTTCTTTGCCTAGCAAATTGAACACCGCGAATTACTTATAATTGACTTAACTTTGATGCATTATTAAATAATTTGTGGAGCTAACATTTAATTCTCTTTTTAAATTCTTGTGTAACTCCCCATTGCATCACATCAGTTTGGTATCAGAGCATGGTTGCTCACCCGGGATGCGAATTCGACGGAGTCGAGTCGAGTCGAGTCTTTTCCACCCCGGGAGAATGATGCGGACATCCAACCGTCCATGCCAATCTGAGGAGGAGGTGAAGATCGACGACCGAGATCATTTTGCTTTATTTTCGTTTATTAAGTGTATTTTAATTTAGTTTTGCAATTTCCCATTTTACCCTCTTGTTTTATGTAAGCCCGAGGGGCGAATGTGTCTTTTAATTTCTCTTAAAGCCTATATATAGAGGCCCATTCTCTTGTATTTGGATGGATTATTGATAATGAAAAATTTTATTTTAGTATTGATCTCTTAGTGAGTTCAGAAGGATCTCTTTGTGAGTTCCGACTTTCCCAAGATCTCTTTGTGAGTTCTTGAGGAGAGTTTCGCGGATCTCTTTGTGAGTTCCGAGATTCTCAATATCTCTTTGTGAGTTCTTGAGGAGAGTTTCGCGGATCTCTTTGTGAGTTCCGAGATTCTCAAGATCTCTTTGTGAGTTCTTGAGGAGAGTTTTGTGGATCTCTGTGTGAGTTCCGACATCCCTATAATCTCCTTTGAGATCTTGAAGTTTAAGAGCGTGAGGTTAGAAATTCCAAGATTTCCCCAAACTTCTCATCCTCTACCAAGCTCGGGCTTTTCCTCCCCAAGTTCTCCTTGCCGCCGGCCCTGTTGGCCCGTCCAGAAATTCACCAGCCATCCCTTAGGCCGACGCCCACCAACCCCCACCTCCCCCTCTCTTCCTCCTTGGAATAAAGAAATTTCTTAATTAGGAGAGGCTCACAATTAATGACAATTCAAATTCAAAATTTGAATTTGAATTAGCATTAATTACTCCTTAAATTTGTCCCTCCAATTAAGCCAATAACCATTAATTTAAATCTGAAATTTAATTTTAGATTTAAATCAATTAATCATTTAATCCTCCCAATTAATGACAATTCAAATTCAAAATTTGAATTTGAATTAGCTTTAATTACTCCTTAATTTCAGATTTCCATTCTCTCTCCCCAAATTGATTTGGGCTTTAATTAATCTTGCCACCTAGGCAAGTATATGGCATTTACGTTTCACATCAAAAAGGATTCATGTAGCCGACCCCACGTAGTGGGATAAAGGCTTGATGTTGTTATTGTTGTATTATATAGATTGAAGGAATTGAAAATCACGAACATTCATGTTCAAAATGAAAATAAGTTGTTGAATATTATTGATGAAAATGATCTTATGATTTCACCTGTTTTTTTTGAACTTCAAATGATAGATTTATATAGTTGGTTAAAAAATAACTACAAATAATTGGCAGACATGATCATAGGATCTATTTCTTATTTTGGTTGCCTTGAGGATTAAGCCTTGTGTTAAATTTTTAGTTAATTTAATTCTATCCATGTGCTTTAGAGTATGTATATTTTAAATTAGTATTAAATTCCTTCAATAATCCTAATTTTCATAATATGACTTTTTTAACAATTATAATTATCTTAAAATATTTATCAACTATAATTTTAAGAGTATTTTTTCAAATTTTCATTAATTTAATCATTGTTAATTGCAATTGTTTGTAATGATAAATTTTTTAAATTGATCTCTAATAAAAATTAAATAAATAATTTGACTTACAATTTTTTTAATATGATTTTAGAAATTTTAAAATTTATTCTAGTGCACTCCATTTTCGTGCAATTATACTAGTTTTTATGTATGTGTGAGTGTATATGTTCCAACTAATGATTCTTTGGTCGTTGAGTATTCAAAATTCCTATTAAAGCTTTAACCTTTAAAAAGACCAACAACAAGTTTTTATCCCATTTTGTGGGTTCGGCTATATGAATCATTTTTTTTATTATGTCCTATTAAGAGTTAAATTCTCATTTAAACGTAATAAAAAATGTTATGTTTAATATTTTATAACCAAGTCTTTTTAGGTCTACCTCTACCTTTCTTAGCATAGGCTAGATTTAGCACATCTACTCTCCTAATAAGCTCATTGAAAAGTTTTATGCAATCAAACCATCTAAGGCAACTCTCTATTTTTCACTAGAGCTACTCTGATGGTTTCACTTGTATACTCATTCACATTCAGTCTTTAAGTTTAAAGCCACTCATCCACTTGAGCATCATCATCTCTGCGACACTTAACTTTATGCTTCTCTTTTAATAGACAACATTTGAAATTTAGGCATGTAACAAAGAGATTTGACTGTCATTTCATTCCTTAATACATTTATTAAATGAGTTTTTGATAATGTTAACTCTTTAGCAACATTTAGTAAATCTAACCAAACCATCTGATTTGACCTATTCGGCCATGAATCGGTCAATTGAATAGTCATGGTAGCTTTAAAAACCAGTGTTACATAGAATCGGCAGGAACAAGATTGAACTGGCGGTTCAAATGAGGAATCGATGAACTATCCTGGTTATATAGAATCAGTCAGTTCAAATGATGCCATATTAAACATTGTTGATTGATGTTCTAATAGCTGAAATTTATTATCATAAAGTTTAAACATATAAAATTTATTGAGTTGTAATAGGTTAATATCAAAACCCCACAACCCTATTCCCACAAATGACCAAAATTAAAACCAGTTGTCCTCCCTCATATGTGATTTCGTCCTCCCTTGCTATTTCTTCTCATAGATGATCCTCTGCCTCTCTCGTTGTCATGTTTGAACCACAACGTTTTTGCTCCTTCACTTTGCATTTTGTATTATTTTTTTATAATTATGATTTATATTTTGTGTATAGTCGTTGATTTATAGTTATCATAAATATTATTTGTATATGAATTCTGTTTATTTTTAGTCAAATATTTGCATTATTGCATATTGTTATATCATTTTGATTTAATTAATTTTAATATTCCCCCGTTTGACCTTGGTCTAATCACTGAATCTTAAACATCTCTTTCTTTCAGTTCTATCTACAGTCAGTTTTCACAACTATACTTTTTAGTGCTCATCTTTTAGGCTGTAAAAGATAAGCATTCATCCTGTAATTATTAAAATTACAGAATGATTACTTCTTATATCTTCTGTCTTCTGTAATTACTCTCTAGCTAATCTTATACAGAATGATTCTTCTTAGAGTAAATAATAGTTTTCTTAAGGCTTCGTTTGGGACGGCTTTTTCATTGCTTTCTAAAACAGAGTTTTAATACAAAAATAAAAAAATTTGTAATAAAACTCCGTTTTAGAAAGCAATAAAAAAACCGTCCCAAACGAAGCCTAAATCTCTTATTTACTTCTCTATTAAGCTCGCCTCGCCATACTTCTCTTCTGTAAAGATAAGCATTCATCCTGCAATTATCTGAACCATAATTCTATATTACATGTCTTTGTTAAATGATTTTTTTTTTATAAAGAAATTGAGACTTTTTGACTTTGTCTGTTTTAGTGAAATGGCCTAAGCTTCTGATATTGCAGGCCAAAGTAGGCTGTCAATCTGCAGTTGAAGCTCTGAGGGAACTCAGAAGGCTGAAGGATAACTGGAGAGGTTGAATGGAATCAGAATCTCTATCAGGTTAGTCCTATCAATGTGGCATCGATGCATTAACCTAAACCCTAGCTGTGTCTTGTCTCTAAAATAAGTAATATTAGACATAATCACATGCTTTTGCACTTTCAACCCTACAGATGTTGGTATAAGAACGAGAAATAAATTATGCTGCTTTTCCTATTTAGAATTACAATGGAGTGAATGATGATAATGACAGCACAAATTGAGCTACGCGGCTTATAGCTTTTGGAGCTTTTGCATCTATTCTATCTAATTGCTCAAATATTTAAGGGTGTGTTTCGGGGGAATTTATTAGGTGCGGAAACCGGACGTAGAGATGCATCCGGATTACTAGATGCACTGCTTACGCTCTGCTTACACTATGCGTATTTGTAGATACACAGAAAATAATCAGCAAATCCTCACAACTAAATATTTGTTGTTTATTTATTGCAAATATGCAGTAAATACACAGAGCGTAGGCAGAGCTTGGTACGCAGCAATCCGGAAGATTCTCTACGTCCAGTGTTCGCGCCTAATAATTTCCCGTGTTTCAGAGATGTTTTAACAATGTTATTTTGTGAACTCTTTCCATCTGAATTTCTATTTGACTAACATCTTCTAGAATTTGGGAAAGCTAATGTTTTATTTCTTAACAAGAAAAAAAAAATTACTTTTTACAATAACTTTTAAATTTTTTATTTTTCTTTCGCGTCTAATTTAACTAGTTGTAACTATCCCAAACAGATCGCTTTGATTAGTAGAAGTGTATTTCAGCTTTTGAATGAGCACCATGGTAAAGACCACTCTCTTTAGACTCCAAATTTGTCTTCAGTTTGGGTAGTTTCAATTATATTCCAACAGTAAGGGTTATCAGGAATTATGTAAAATCTTTAGAGTCAAGATTTTACCATATTACCTGCATGAAAGAAGAGCAATATCTGTTCAGGCTACTAATATAGAAAATATACAAAAAATAAAATAAAATATATCTGGAAAGAGGGGAAAATACCACCAGTTTTTTACTGTCATAGAAAGTTCAATCTAATCCTTATGAATTTTAGATTAATGCGTGCGGCAGTATAATTGATCCAATATTTCAAGCAGTATGAAAATTATCTTAAATAAAAAAAAATTCAAATAAAATCTTAGATTTTTAATTAAGGCTAATATTTATTGTTTGTAAACAAAAATATAACATCTTGATTTTATTCTCAGCAAATTTATGTTTTGAAATGAGATTTAGTATATCTACAGAATTTTGAAAAAAAATTGAAGAATTTATAATCTATATTTAGTTTTTAAATACATTCAATCAAATTATTAAATCTAATAAATTTCATCATTTTATTAAACATATTTTCAAAATTCAAGCAAAAAAAAAATTCAAACAATTCTTATAAAAAAAAATTTAAAAATCTTAGATTTGTAATAAATAAATTTCATCATTTTATCATCATTTAAATAAGCTTATTTTGTATATATTTACAAATGATCAAAGAATAGTTGATTCCATTTTAACAATGACAATATGGCTATAATTGGAAACCCTGAAATTTATATCAATTTGAGAATTATAGCTCAAAATTAACCAAAATATCTCTTCATAGAAGCTCAAATTATGAGAACCACTCAAGCTTTCTAAATTAGGAAGATAAATAGCAACAAACTAGGTCAAGTGTTCATCCCTCACCTCTCAATTTTCCAGCTCTCTTTATCCAAAAATAGAAAGCAAAGGCAACCACACATACCTAACAAATTTCCCTTTATATAAACCAGCATCCATGTCCTTTCTCCATCTCAGAAGGGGAAGATAAATCAATCAAAATAAAGAGAAAGAAGAGAAATAGAAAAGCCGATCATGACGATGACAAAGTTCGAACTCATTGGCACCCTCTGCCTCATTTCTTCTATTGCTCTCGTCTCCTCCAGTGACACCTTCTCCATTCAAGGCCGTGTCTATTGTGATACTTGTCGTGTTGGCTTCGAAACTAACATCACCGAATACATCTCAGGTACTCACATTTATATAATCAACTGAAAGACAGATCAATTGATCAATTGAGTAATAAGTAATTGAGCATTATAGATCTGTGGTGTTTATGATGGCAGGTGCTAAAGTTAAGGTCGAGTGCACGCATTTTACTACAAATAAGGTTAAACATTATAATGAAGGTGTAACAGATTCAACCGGCTCCTACAAGATTAATGTGGTAGATGGTCACGAAGATGAGATTTGTGAGGTCGTGCTCGTCAATAGCTCCCTCGAAAATTGCAAGGAGATCGAGATTGGCAGAGATAGGGCGCAAGTATTGCTCGCGAATGATGGTGGCATAAGTGGCAAGGCAAGGCATGCAAACTCACTTGGCTTCCTCAGGAATGAGCCTCTTCCTTCCTGTGCAAAGCTTCTTAAAGAGTACTATGGCCTGGGAGAGGAAGAGTAGTTAAAGCAAGTTATAATTAAGAATTTTGGGCTAATGCGTTCTCATTTCTATTTACAACATCTCTTCTAAGTCATTTGTACTCGTTTCTACACTTTTTCTATTCTTCATGAGACTAACGTTTGCAGTATTATGGATCTGCAGCAAATAGTTGATATAATTAATTTGCTTTGACATATAATGGAACAAAGCATTGAAATGTATTAGAAGTTACAGATCCTTATAACTTATTGAGCAAACAAAATTTTTGTTGACATCCTATTTGAATCAAATTTATACTTTGTATTGATTAAGATTGAAATAGGTTAAGAAAGTGCATGTTCTCTTAGATCCCATTAATGAAAAAATGTGACGATGAGTAGCTGTTGAACCCCGCTATACATACACACATACAGCTATGTATGTCTATACATTCATACATACGAATTGAAACAAATTGGGTTGGGTTAGATTCATATCAATTTGAAAATAATGATTTGATAATTTGATTTATTTTAATGGGAAATTCAAATTAGATTGTTACTTTGAGTCGTTATTGAGATGTATGTATCAATGGGTGTCAATATTTGACACGACATGAAAACCCGGCTCGAACCTGACCTGATTTCAAAATGGGTTAGATTCGGGTTTCAGGATTCGAACCGTTTGGAAAAATGGGTCCGGTTCGAGTTGACCCATCAACCCGAACTGAACCCGGGTTAACCCTGAAAAAATGCTCAAACGAGTCACGTCAGCATTGAGTTTGAGCCCCGCACATCCTCGCATAAAGCGTCCTAGGTTTACAAAATTGTGTCGGTCAGGTCAACCCAGTAACCTAACGGGTCAGGTACGGATTCGTGTTTTCGACCTATTTGTAAAATAGGGTTGGGTTCGGATCAACCTATTTGAACCTAGTTCAGTTCCGGATTCGACCCAAATCCTACCCGAAACTCAAAATTGACACCCCTATATGTATGCAAATTAGGTAATTATGTTCATTTTGGGATGTATAGATGCTAATTTGTCATATTAAATATATATTTTTTATCTTTTCGGGTTAGGCATGGGTTGAGATTTTTCGCTGAGAAAGTTTCATATTGATTATATTCGTATTTGATTATTTTTTGATCAAATTTGAATCTTACTATGAATCTAACTTGGCACCCTTATTTTGATATGTATTTGCATGTATCAAATGGCCCTCAATTTATTATTATTGTTGACTTTGTATATATCTTATTCACATAAATTATCATAAAAAATCTTTGAAATACCATATTTTATTTTTATATCTATTCATTTTTATCATATAATTGTCTTTCTTTTTCTACTTAATAAATGTAAGATTAACTCAGGGCATCTCCAACCGATAACTTCATTTTTCACGGCAAAGTAACGCAAAACTCCAAAATGGCGTGGTGACGCTCCAATCGAACGCCATTTTAGGTGTTTCTAGGAAGGTAGCGATCGCTCTCCCTTTCGAGCGTTTTTCCGATTGAGAGCAGAAAATGGCGTGAGTGAACAGTGCGTCGCACTGTTCACCTGCAATTAAATGGCGGAAATTTTCGCGCTCGGTTGGAGCGACGGAACGACTCCATACACTCGTTTAGCGTTCGGTTGGAGATTAACTCATGTGAATGAACTCATTTAGCCACCCAATCTGACTTGAGCTAGAACGAGTGATTTGAGCTGTACAATTCTGGCTTTTAATTTTGATATAAATAATTTATAAGACTTGACATTGATCCTTCTCCCTTTATAAGACACAGCACCAATAAAAAGTATTTAAATACAGAAAGTAAAACTCAAAAGTAAATCCGTTGTAGTCTAGTTGGTTAGGATACTCGGCTCTCACCCGAGAGACCCGGGTTCGAGTCCCGGCAACGGAAATCTTTTTATACGCCACCAAAATTTTTTCAAAAGAAACGTCTTTCCATTGTGCTGTGGGATTTATCGATTTTTCATGCAGTTGAAATCAACTTCCTAAAATGAAACCTTCGAGCAGCAGCTCGTTTCTTCTCGCATCTCGATCTTAGCTTATTTTTTACAACAAGTTTTAGATTATCTTCTACTGAATAAACAACGTTGAATGAATAATTTCTTAAATAATTATCATTAGAATGATTAATCACAGCAGAAAGGGTTTATATAAACTTTTTCTTTACATTTTTAGGAGAATTCCTGCTTCTCCTCTATGCGATTTCTGTAGAAGGCATAATGAGACTCATTCACATATTTTCTTTAGCTGTGACTTCTCCTTCAATGTCATTTGCTCATTGCTGCCCTTCCTCAATTGCTTCTTTTTAAGGCCCAACCTGTTTCAGGTTTATGACTTTATTAACTGCAATACCAACTTAAATGCTATTGAAAAAAATTGTTGTTTTTTGGCTATTTCGGTGGCTGTGTATCACATCTGGAGAGAAAGGAATGTTAGGAGATTTACTAATACCTGGAACAGTCCTAATTATGTGAAAAATGTCATTACTGCTGCTATTCATGCAAAAATCAGTAAATGGAGGTCTTATGATAAACTGGTGGAAAGGTTTAAGGAGTTTTTGGTGTAACTCCAGGTTATGCCGATTTAACTGGATTATTTTTTCTACCTGGCATTGCTTGCTTACCTCGTAATATGGATTTGTTGGAAGAAACTTGGAAATTCCGGCTGGAATGGTTTTTGCTGGAACCTTCAGAGGTTCGGTATCCTTGTGGCTGGTGAGAATGGTGGTCTGGTTCTGTCCTTCAACCGGCTCCTACAAGATTAATGTGGTAGATGGTCACGAAGATGAGATTTGTGAGGTCGTGCTCGTCGAAAGCTCCCTCGAAAATTGCAAGGAGATCGAGATTGGCAGAGATAGGGCGCAAGTATTGCTCGCGAATGATGGTGGCATAAGTGGCAAGACAAGGCATGCAAACTCTCTTGGCTTCCTGAGGAATGAGCCTCTTCCTACCTGTGCAAAGCTTCTTAAAGAGTACTATGGCCTGGGAGAGGAAGAGTAGTTAAAGCAAGTTATAATTAAGAATTTTGGGCTAATGCGTTCTCATTTCTATTTACAACATCTCTTCTAAGCCATTTGTGCTCGTTTCTACACTTTTTCTATTCTTCATGAGACTAACGTTTGCAGCAAATAGTTGATATAATTAATTTGCTTTGACATATAATGGAACAAAGCATTAAAATGTATTAGAAGTTACAGATCCTTATAACTTATTGAGCAAGCAAAATTCTTGTCGACATGCTATTTGAATCAAATTCATGCTTTGTATTGATTATGATTGAAATAGGTTAAGAGAGCGCATGTTCTCTTAGTTCCTATTAATTGATGGATGAAATAAATGTGAAATTGAGTAGTTGTTGAACCCCGCTATGCATACATCCATATAGCTATGTATGTATGTATGTATACATATACATACATATGAATTGGAACAAATTGGGTTGGGTTAGATTGATATCAATTTGAAAATAATGATTTGATAATTTGATTTATTTTAATGGGAAATTCAAATTAGATTTGTTATCTTGAGTTATTTTTATTGAGATGAATGTATCTAGGACTGTCAATATTTGAATTGATATGAAGACGCGACTCGAACCCGACCCGATTTAAAAATAGGTCAGATTTGGATTTTCGGATTCAACGTGTTTGAAAAAATAGGTCCGATTCGAGTTGACCTAGCAACCCGATCTCAACTTGGATTAACATGGGAAATACACTCTGACAAGTCACGCTAGCGTCGAGTCCTGCCTTGCTGTCCCGCCGTCAATGCGAGCCCCACACATCTTCGCGTGAAGCTATTTGGGTTTACAAAATCATGTCGGGTCGGGTCAATCCGATAACCCAACGGGTCGAGTACAAATTCGTGTTTTTGACCCGTTTGTAAAATAGGGTTGAGTTCGGATCAACCATTTGAAGCCATGTCAGTTCCGAATTCGACCCAAATCCTACCAAAAACTTGAATTTGACACGGCTATATGTATCCAAATTAGGTGATTATGTTCATTTTGGATTTTGTAGACGCTAATTTGCCAGATTTAAATATATTTTTCTATCATGTTGGGTTAAGCATGGGTTGAGATTTTTCGCTGAGCTAGTTTCAGGTTGATTATATTCATATAGGGTTATTTTTGGGTCAAATTTGAATCTTACTATGAATCTAACTTGGCACCCTTCTTGTTCTTTCATGCTAAGCATAGTACTTGTTCATTTATTTTCCCTTATCTCTAATGAACAAGAAAACCCAGGATGAAATCTTTTAAAAAAAAAAATTTCAAAAGCACCTCTGTTTTTTTAAATAAAAATTTCTACATATGCCAAACAAGTCATTAAAAAGATCCATCTTTGAATGGTAAAAACCCGTCACTATTCAGCTTAAAATTTATGCATTAAATAAAAAAAGATGTTTCAATGATAGATATTTATTCTTAGACATACAACAATAAATCTTAAACACTATAGTCTTAATTCTAAAATCATTAAAAATAAAAAATAAAAAAGTGTTCTCAATTTTCTTTCCTTGGTAAGATAACTGGCCAATTGTTGGATTTATGCTAACTAAAGAACTGAGCTAATCAGACTCCCATTTGGATCAGACATTCGAAGGTTCAATCTCAAACCCAATACCTCTTAGTTGGAAGCCTAAGCTCTCAACCAACAGGCCAAGATGAGCTGTGTGACAAAGGCAAGTTCTCGGTTCATAAAGTATAAGGCAGGGACATGCACTCATCAATGCCCCTCATCCATGTACTCATCCTCCTGCATCGTGAGCTGGCGAGCTAGTCTTCTCTTCTTAGCCAACAAAGGAGAGATTATTACATGCGGAGATCGGACACAGATTATCGTTCAATTTTATGACTGTGAACAAAAAAAGCACAATCACAAAACCGAACAATTCTCTGTATCCGAACTCCGCACGTAATAATCTGTCCCGAGTAAAACTAAAGGAAATTACTATTTTACTTCTAAAACCACATCATACAACAGCCTTGTGACGAAAGCTCATACGGATGGATTGGGTCTGAATAGCCATAAAACCTACAAATGTCTTATTTGTTATCATCAGACGGGAGGCCGATGAAT